CCCACCTCTTCTTCACCCAAGTCGTCTATGTTTGACGGTCACTCGTCGGCGGCTTCGGATACGGCGACCATCACTTCTGTGTCTGCAGTCGATGGTCAGACCATAACGGCGTTGGACGCAGACTTGCAGTCGGCGCTGGAATGGATCAACCATCCTGCGGTATTCTCCAGAGACTCGCGCAAGGCTGTGTTGCAAGGCATCGGTGTAATCTCCTCGCAAAGGGCCTATACTTTCCGATCGCCGTCTGAGGCCCACTGGGCCCAGCGTGTGGCAGGTGTGCGACGCCTGACCGAACGATCCAAGGAATGGCGCGAGACTGGAGACGACGCGTTGACTGAAGAGTAAATGTGATGACTCTTCCAGCTGTTTATTTCTTTCATTCCGGATACGGTCCAAGTCCTTCCTTCGTTTCTTCCGATTTCATCGCTTTTTCATCTTCTCGATTATGATACCACTCTGTTCACCACGACTGTGCGACATGATACCACGGTTTGTTTTTTTGATTATTTCCTTGTACATCTAGTGGGGCCTTATGTATATAGCAGGTCCCGGTATTAACTAATAGGCTGTTGGTATATGGGTTGGATTTGAATGATTTACGGCTCTTGGGATATGGGGTGGCATTCATGATATTTTTGTACTAGTCTACTCTCAATTCAATAATCGGGCGATGCATCTGAGTTTAATGATTCTTCCTATGCTGTAGGCAGCCAGCAGCCACACGTCATCACTATCAGACTCGTGCTGACCAGTCAACTGGCCCACGTCATAGAGATCACTGCAGTGGACTCACCCGGAGCAGCGTATTAGTACTCTGCACGTCCGCACTAGTCCCAATTGAATCCTTGCCCGTATACAATTACTCCATGTTTCGATACACTAATCTATCAATACTGCCACCATGATTGATCCAAAGTCCGTCACGACACTTTCTAAGTAATCGCCGCCTCAGATTCAGATACAGACCCATAAGGGTGCCTGTGCGTCACCAGCACACACACATGCACACCTAAAAGACATCTCAGACAACACACCAGCACCATAAAACTCTTTCTTACTACCTTGATTGAGGACTTTAATACTAGCCTGTCCGTAGGGTGATGTACCTGTATCCAGTTGATTGCCCTCGGTGGGTCATGCTCTTATTTTGTGGGCTATTGATCGGGTTGATGAGTGGATGGGGTGATTCGTGCTCTGGGGAGTGATGTGTTGGTACTGGGTTAGATTGGTGAAGACCAAAAAGGTTGTGGGCGTAAGAGTGGGTGTTATTGTGAAGGGTTGATGGATGGGATAGGCTTTATTGGGGTGTTGGTAGAAGTGAGAGTGGGGCAGAGGGAGGGGGTGGGGCATTTGTTAGTAGATACAGGGGCTAGATGGGGTTGATGATGTGAATTGGGTGTTAAAGGTGGTGTGTATGGTGTTTAATTGTTTGGTTTAGATGAGAATGGCTAGGGATAGATGGACAAGTGGAGGAAGTGAAAGGAGGGGATAGTTGGAGTTTATCACAAATTCGTGTAGATGAGAGCATTGGGTAGAGAAACAATATGCCCGGCCTGTGGAGGGAAACAAAATGGTTAGGTTATGCCAGTTTAATACTCCTACATGTCTGTCTAGTGAGAAGGGGTGGCACAAGAATGGATATGGGGGAGTATAATGCTAGGCCTAATTCTTGACGGAGAGTGATGCATGGGTTTACGAAGAAGGCAAGTCTGCCGGTTCTATGTTGGAGACTTTACCGTAAGGAGGACTATAGCGCCCTAGGGGGTTAATTGCTCTAACTATGTCTGAGCCGAGTTCCGGACACATGAAGTCCCAGTGATGAGGGGTATGCCTGCTTACTTTGTAGATCACGACGTAGTGATGCCTCTCGCATTTGCTCAATCAACCAACTAAGCAACATGAAAATGCGCCGAGTGTGCTGGCGAAAGGCAGAAACAAGGCGGCAACTCGTACTAAATATTTCCCAATGAGATATATCATTGCAATAGTAGTTTTGGTATTAGTGCACTAGGGAACTGCACATGTGAAATTGCGGTTTACATGATACTGAACATGCCATAGAAGTGTGAGCTCTATATATAGATGGTCGCGAGCAACCTACCAGGGACATGATAACACCGGTAAGCACAGGGACAGGCGCGTAGGAACTGGATTAAATGAAAAGGGTATAGTAGTGCTGGATGCTATTTAAGGAAACTAGACAAGAATAATTCTGGAGACGGAGGACGAGCAGATTTAGTGGAGCGTAAATCTGGAGGTATAAGGTGTATTCGTGGACGGTATGATACAGTATCATACAGGATATCAACTAGATGATGTGAGTGTAGATACATACCTTATATGAGCTGGAAAGACAGGGAAGGATGACCAAGGGCGTGATAGACACAAGCACGAAATCGATAGTGTGATCTAAAATTATCATTCTTCGTGCGGGACAACTTCTCTCTGGCGGAACCCCCTGCCGACTGTGGAGACAAGAGTGAGCAATATTGGCGTAGGATATATGCGGGTGTGATGATGGCATGTGAGCATGAACTCAATGAGGTGGAAGAAACACTCATCTAGCGCAAAGCTATGGCTGGCCAATTCGCCAGCAGCGCTTGGTATGCGTGCGACGATGATACAAGAATAGAAAGAGCTAATATAGTGCTTGTTTTAAGTAATGGCTGATCAATCTTGCAAGCGAGTGAGTGAGAGGAGGGCGGGCTAGTCGGTCATAAAGCCAGCCTGTTTGGCGGAGTGTGGAGGGGCACAAGGGATATGGTGCATTAGCGAAGGGCGAGTAGCTGCTATCAGGTTAGCATAAGGGGGAATTGGATCAGCACGGTACTTAGTCTTTGCAAAAGTATTGGCTGTAGGAACGAGCAAGCGGCGTTGTGCTGGCTTGGTATCAGTTTATGGTGATGTAAATGAATGCGACTGTAGACGGTAGATGTTGTTGAACGGTTTTTTGTATCATTTAGAAGTCGGACTCGACTGCTCATGTTGGATGAAAAGACACACCTCTCTTATACCCTCCATGAGTTGCTGCTTCCCCAACAGTTATTCTGCCATGAGAGGGGAATGGACACTTGAGGTAGTGCTATGAAGTTGAGATAGTGTGCAGATATCCAAAAATAGCCAGGCGTGCAGGGATCCCATCTTTAGACCGGTAGCAGATCTAATCTTAGTAGTTATCTAGTACCCGCCAGGATTGCCAGTTGCCAAGAATATCTTCCCGGCGCTAAATCACTCGTCTGATTGGAGGAGCGAGGACGCGAGACGTGAGGAGTGCGGGATTGAGCATATGCTCTTGTCCAGTGCTACTTCATCTCTCAACTGGAGGGTTGATTGGTGCCCGAGAGTCATGGTCGCGTTTAAGCGCCTACCAAGACTGCGCAGGAGATGCATATGTTGCTGTTTATAGCACCAGCGGGTACCCAATTGTATCACGATAGCGGTGGTTGGTGGCCTGCTTAAGCGCCGGCTTCTGGACGGTCGTAAATGGTGACTCTGATTCGCTGAGCAGCTCTGGCGATGGCAAGTCTGTAGGCACTGTGAGAAGCCACTGAAAGCTCTTGGTAAGAGCAGGGGATCTCATTGCACCACGCGCCCTTCGAAGGTAGGAGCTGACGCAAACTACCACTACTGGACGATTAGATATTGCCATTAGTCGTAGCCCTCGCAGTTAATCAAAGAAGCCATAGCTATAGTAGTGAGGTGTTAGTGCAGATTATATGCTGGCTCTACAGGCGCTCACATTCATAAGTAGAAGCACCTAACGTGAGCATCTGAGTGAACCCGAGCGAACGAAGACGTCCGTAGATTAGACAAACGGACCAGACTGATTCATGTTCCTGATGCATAGAACCGAGACAGACTTCTTCATCGGCAACGATCCATACCGTCTATCGTAGCCGCTTACAGCCCGCTATCAGGGTCCAGCCATCCCCACGAAGCGCCGTCTTCAAGCTTGCAATGTAAGGGGTCGACGATTGAAACCATGATCACAACAGACAATCTTCTCTCTTACTCAGTGACTGGAGCACGACCCTTCCATGGCGTTTCTTGATGCTGTCGACCCTAGATATTTTTCTGCAGGCTATACCGTGCTCGTCGTTAGTGCTGCAGGAACATGTTTCGGGTCTTCCCCGTCTTCTGCCATCGTCATGACGACGACGGCTTCAACGGTGGTAGCGGAACCGCGCGCTTTGCTGTGACGAACCATGTACATGGAATTTTGAGAAGAACCGGACAAACCGCTTCTTGAAGCCTCTGGGGATAGGAGACCCTGAGATGAGACTTGATTCAGATGGCGCGCGACAATGCTGGAGATGCCGTCTGGTGTTTATGTGCGAGCAAGAAAAGGTCCCGAAAAGTCTATAAAGTCAGAGAGAAACCTTCTCTTTAATCTCTTCTTCTTCATCATCATCAAAAGTCAATCTTTGTCTCTTTGTTTCCTTAGCTCTTTCTGTTGTCATCTTTGGGGTTAAACAGCTGGACTGTGCGCCTCCACTAGCTTGTCTTCGTTTGACACCAGGAACTTTGCCACGCCGGAACCATACCAAAGCTAGCCTTCTAGGTCCGGATTGAGTGATAATCATCGACTAAGACACACTCTTATTCGACCTTCAGATTGGGTGCCTGGAAGTAAGTAATCCGATCTCGTGCTGCTATTCTGGCGAGCTGAAGGTGCAAGGTGCTAACGCAGCTTAGGCTAAACCACTTTCGTCCTCGCGAATCTATACGGCTCCTGCGTATTGATACTGTCTGGTACAGCCATCTGTATGTTTACGCCTGACCCCCAAGCAGGATGTATAGGATTCTCCTTGATTCTGACTCCTCCACAGGTCCTTTCTTTGCCAGTTACCCCCTAAACTTAGTTCTTTCGCTTTGTTGCCTCCGCCTAGATAAGGCTCTCCACTCTCTCCACCCGTATCCCAGGGGTTTCTGTCTACTATAAGAACCCCTCCCTCCAGGCCGATTACCACAACCCTTGAGATTCTCTCCTCAAGCTGCAACTTGCCATTGTACCTCTCCATCACCTCTCATAATCCTCGAGATGGGTCCCACCAAACCAACTCTCCGTCCATTGACGACTCCTAAGAGCATGGTCTTTCCATCCGAGCTCCGCGAGCGAACCTTCACCACATGCCTTGACCCAGACAGGTCATCGTCCATCGTGGGAAAAGGAACCAGCAGCACCGAAGACAACGAGGCCTCTATCACTCCTCCACCAGCATACACAGACTTCGTGAACACCTTCAGTCCTATCTTCTCCAGTCCCACAACATCCCGAGCCAACTTCTACAAGTACATGGTCGACAAGCCCCGTCACTCCCCCACTTCCACCACCCCCTCCAGCACCACGTCAACCTACTTCCCGAGTGGCCAGCCACCGAAGAACAACAGCACCACTGCGGTCGTCCCTCATCCTACACATGGTCAACGTATGCGTCTACCACCGCCGTATGTCTGCACACCGGTGTCCGACTCCCCGAGGAGTGCACACCCCCTCCACTCTCCTTTCACCTCATCGGAGTATAGAGGTCGTCCCTTCGAGTCTCCGGTCAGTGAGGCGGGAAACTCTTTCAGTGTTCGACACGTGGTGACCACGACCATCACGTATAAGCGGGCTCCTCAGCTTGACGCACCGCCGCTGGGCAAGAAGAGAAAGAATCTCAAGCGTCGTAACACTTGATGCTTCCATCTTGGTGCCATGTTTGACTGGATATCAAGTCAATCCTCCATATCTACCATCTACTATATCTCCTTGTGTCACGAGTGCAATGTACATGCTCCATCACGTCTAGTTTTGTCATGCTTCACATCTTGTTATTTATGTTCATTCCTCTGCTACATTTTACCTGCAAATGGGATATGCGACACGGGAGTCGGAGTTCATGTCTATTTTCGTCACTGCTACGTTCTCTATTTCCGGGATCTTTCCATTCTATTTATGTACTCTCACGTCAGTTTAGTTAATAACCCATATGAATAACTACCAAATTATCCCAAACCCAGACCAATAGAACAGACAAGCTTTACGTCGTACCTAAACACCCAGCACCAGCACCAGCACCAGCAACACCCACGCACAAGCAGAATCCCACCCACAGAATTCCTGCAGGATCAGACTCCATTCCACCCATCTACATACGTAGTAACATTATGCACTCAGCCACCACCACCGTCTTCCTCTCCCACGAACCAATCAAAAGGATAAGCCGCAATCACTCCAACTCCGCTTAACGCAAACCAACATCCTTGAAATAGTACTCGATAGCCGCGTGGTGGAATCGCATTCGTCCGTTCGACATAGTAGTACCTTCTAATCTAAATAGGTAGGTTGGTTTCGATTGTCTGTGTGCTGAGGGGGGTAGCCGAGGCTAAGGGTTTGCGCGGCTAACTTTTTATCTAACCAATTATATATAGTAGGTTGGTTGGTTGGCTAAGTAGTGGGGTGGATGAAGTACCAGGTAAGTAGTATTTGGGATGATTATTTGTATTTTTGGTTGAGTTGGTCGTCGTGGGTGGTATGGGTGTAGTTGGTTGGTGGGAGGGTGGTTAAGTATTTGGGGGAAGGGGGTTGGATGGAAGATATTTCTTGACTACAGTTGGAAAGTGGTCTACTGGCCTGTTTCTTTCTGGACAGAACGCGGGACAAACTTGCATTGAAGACGGAACTAAATAGCATACTAACTAAGCAGAATATCATCAAGAATGAAGCAAGAGTTACAGGAATAATAAATAGCAAAACCCGAACAAAACATAAACTATATATCATCAGACGTGAAGGACGTAACGAGGGACATAAGGCATTGGTCGTGGATAGATCATGATGGAAGGAGGAGTTCAAAGCAAAGAGGAACAAACACTGCAAGCGTGACAACAGGATCCAGCGAGCGTATGAGGTATATAATGTGAATGACAAAATAGCGAGACAAAACATAGATGACACGACTTAATCTCAAAAAGACCATTGGGCAAGAAAAGCAGAACAAACTCGAAACCAACACAGATAGAGAACAAAGCAGACGAATTAACAAACATTCCCCTCGTTAATAGCCGGCTTGCCAACTAGTGCAGTTGTCGCTTGCGCTCATACCCATCGACCAGCGAGTGGGTTAGAAGAGCTGCGGTGCTTGTGGCGAGACACGGCCCTCTACATCAACAAGTACTCCCAGTTGTTGGCGCGCATAACTTCTCGCCAGTAGATGTAGCGCTTCTCTGGCTCTTCGCTCTCCTTCTCGTGATTCTGGTGCTCCTCACCGTGCTGCTCCTGAATCGGTGGCTCAGGACTCTGCTCCTCCTGAGCTTCTTGCTCCCCATCGTGGTGCTCATCACCTACTTCTTCGACATCCAGCGGACTCCGATGCTGCTGAATTGTTGCCTGACAAGCCTCTTCAGCTGCAACGGACTGACTAACACGGGATTTGGGAGGCCTTGTGCCGCTTCCAGGTAGAGAGGCGGTCGCGTCAGCAATCCTCCAGACCTCTGTCAGGACACGATACACCCGACCGATACTTCCGAACTTCCCTAGGCAGCCCAGGGCAGCGATTCTCTCCGACAAGATCTTCCGGAACTGACTTGGGGGAACGGAGTACAAACCCGCAATGAAAAACGGCCAGGCCAGACAGCGATCGTAACCGGTGCGACCGGTCGGAATCATCTGAATGATGTCGCCAATTCTGGTAACCCAGCTCATGACGGTGGCATCGTAGCTATCGAAGGTCGGGAGGATGCTGTGAGCGTAGAGCCGCGCTGCCAGTCGAAAGAGCGCCGTGATCAGCGTGACCAACTTATCTGCGATGATGACTCCGTTGGAGTCGTAGGGGGCTTCGACAGGTGAGTCGGTCGCTTCGGTCCAATTGATCTGCTCGTTGAGTGCGAAGACGTGTTGATACAGATCCAGTTCTTCGAGATTGCCCTCAAGCCACAGCGATTCTAGACATGCGATCTCCGAAATGAGGTACATGATACGGTCATCGCAACCCATGACATGTTGCAGACCAGAACGGATACCTGTTACATGTCTTTGCCGATAGGTATGGGCGAACTCCGGCGTTGCCCCTAGCATCGTAGCTCCAATAATATCGATCCATGCAACGAGTGCGACGCTCAGAGAACTGGGAGGGTTGATGAGCTTCTTAATGAGAGTGGCAGCGCCTTTGAAGTGGTGGTTCCACGGGATATCATCCAAATAATCTTCTGAGGTTGCCACGAAGGAGTTGTAGAAGATCAGACCGAGTGTAGCGTCAAGGTTCTGCAGATGCCCGCTTTCCCTGTTGAGGACATTGGAGAGCTGCGAGATGGCTGCGTAGCGATGCTCCATGATGTCGTGATCCATTTGGTCGTCCAAGCCTAGGGTGTACTTGAGGTGGATAGCTGCCGCGCTGAGGCAGCATCGAAGGTACGCCCGGTTGTTTTGCATCAGGCCCAGGATCTCATTTATGTGCAAACGAGGGCCTTGCCTTGCTTCCAAGATCGGGAAGACAGTATGCAGGACGTAGTCGACAAAGTGTTGCAGAAGCGGCTGGGCATTATTGTCAACAGAGATGAGTCCCCGCACCGATTCGTAAAGAGGAAGCTGAGCATCTGTGCTATCGGCGCCTCCGTTGGCCATGTTATCGAAGAAGTCCTGGTTGTAAGGCTGTGGGAGACTGAAGGGTGGCCGTGCCAACTCCCTGTGAGGAAGCCGGGGCGTTGGAGGCGGCACTGAAGAAGGACCCTGCCCGCTATATTGCGGCAAAGGTGGACGAGTGAACGTCTCCGTCTGAGGAGATGGCTGGATCGACACTCGAGACACCAGCTGTAGCTGGGGAGCACCCGCAGTTGAAGTGAACGTCTGAACCTGGGGAATAATGGGCGATTGGGCAAATGTCGAGGTGGGAGGAGCTGATAATGGGGTTGGAGGAAGTGCTGGGGTCTGAGAGAAAGTCGCAGACTGGGGCAACGATGGGGTCTGCGCCAAGAAAGAGGCCTGGGGAACTGGCGAGCTCTGGGGCAAGGCTGGGGATGCTGATACAACTCCAGTGCTCAGAGCAACATCTTGCTGAACTTGGAACGGATTAGGATTGGGAGTGACCGGGGTAGGAAGAGACTGAGGAATGGTAATAGCTTGGCCCATGGACGCTGCATGACTGGAGCTCGTTCCCTCAGACTCCGGAGGCTTTGGGACGAGAGCAGAAATCCGGTCTCTATACTCTACACAAATAGTCAGAATGCATCTTTATCAGATAAGCATCGAGCGAGTGGCACATACTTTGCAAGTTGCCCTCCTTCTCCATCACCTTCGTCTGTCGGATCCTTTCTTTGATCCTTTCCTTCTGCACCCCACGCTGCTCCTTAGTGGCCCACCACTTAGGGGTCACATAATTGCACTTCAGACCAAGCTTAGTGCATGTAGAGCAGATCGGCCGGATCTCATCACACTTCTTCCGTCGCAAGCGACAAGTGAAGCATCCTAAAGAGAGTTCCATGGTCAGTGCTTTTTGGAGCTACCCTGCTGATCTGAGACTGCATATGATGGAAGGTATTCATATGTTAAGGCCAGTCATACCTGAACGAGATCTCTTGTATGTCTTGGTCTTCCGTTCCCCGGATGGACCAGGCTCATCAGGCAATTCCGAGTTGGCTCTCTCGGAACGACGGGTATCGTCCATGACTGGTTGGGCGGAGGTAGAAGCCATTGTGCAGCACCACCTTATCAAGCAGTCCGTAGAGTGTTCCCGAAGGGTGACGAAGAAGTCACGGGTCTTGATAGAAGGACTGTCGACTTAGATGATAGAGATTGTAAAAACAGAGATGTGAAACGATGATTATGAAGTGAAGTAACAATAGAAGACTTGAGATGTTGCACTGTGTTGAGATCCTCTCTATGCTTATCCTTGAAGTAGGATGTTGTTGTAGAAGATGATACAGAAGAGGATGGAGTTGAGACGAAGGAGGCATCGAGCTGGCCTTTATGAATCTTTTCCACCCCGGCATCTGGGACATAGAGAGGGTAGACACGGTGTCGACCGTTGCAGGTGATGCCCGGGTAGATTCTATTTTTTACCAACACCAGCGGATTACTGTGGATGGACGATGTTTCGAAGACAAGTCCGAGATGCAAACCTTGTGGGGAACGAGGACGAACGACAAATCACCATTGTCGCGAAGACCGAAAACAAAGCGCGAGAGCTAAATTGAGACCAGGTGGTGGTGGTCGAGATGGATGGTATGGCATGCACCGAAAGCCTCTGAATGTCGAGCCGATATCTGGCACAGCTCGCGTGCAGCCGGAAAATGCAAGGGTCGATCACGTTGGGCTCTTACCATGAGGTTCCTGTCAGGGTCTTGGGGAGGTTCGTCATTAGCGCGAAGTTGAGAATGGCGGATAATGAGAGCGCTACATTGGTCAGTTGGATGGCATCTCCTCCGGGCTTGCCAATAGTTTGTGGACTAAGTGAGCAAAGCATTGTTGTTGTTGGTGGTGGTGGTGGTGGTGTTGTAGGTCCATGTTGCTATTGTTGTTCGCATATCATGGCTTGTTGCTAAGAATAGGAATCAATCTGTATAGATTCAAGTTCACGATGCGCGGTTTTCCGAAAGCCAGATTCTTTCTATGGAAAAAGATGCATTTCTCCAGTTAGCCGGCCATAGTTAGCATGGGTAATAGTGTTATTCTCATGGTCGGCCCGGGACATAGTAACGCCCAAGTTTAATCGACCACGGCGCTTAAGGAGCATCTGAGTATGGCTATTGGTTGAAAGGATTCCATGGGCGCCAACGTACATTGCCAAGCTTCAAGACTTGAAGCATGATTCGACCAGAGCCAGTCGTTGTTGACCCATCATTGCAGTGGGCGGGACTCGGCCCGTGCGGGTGATGGAGGAAGAGAAGGAAGAAGAGGAGGAAAGAGGAGGGGGAGGGGCAGAAGGAGGGGAAAGTGGCCGTGAGAAGGATTGAGAGGAAGCATTGACAACCGTTAATTAGCAGCCGGAGAGGCATCTTGGAGGGAAATGGACGCCTGTCCATTGGCCGTTGCTCGCAAATCAGGTGGGGTTCCCACGAATGACTTGCTGTAATTTGCTCAGGTCTATCCTAATAATAACCTGAAGGAGCCGTCACTATCACCAACGGAGGGGACGTGCATGAAAAGCTGCAACATGCCATTGGACATGCACGCGGCTCCTCGTCGATAAGGTGGTTAACTTTGAGGTGTCGATGACGCCTTTGTTCATACATTTCTCTTCCCACCATTCCTGATTTGTACATCCTGATGTCAATTTGGTATATCGAAAAACACGCTAGTCGTGATGGTTTTCAATAGTTTCATGTACGAAGCTCCCGAGAAGAAGAATCCTGCTATTCTTAGAGTATACTGAAATAGAAGGCTTCTCAGAAGTTTGATGAAGACGCATCGAAAGAGCGCCATGATCTAGATTCAATCTATATGGAGGGAGTATACTATACTTAGAACTGTAACCAACTCATTCCTCCTCAAGAAATAGCACGCCTTTATGATTGCACTATCCCGGGACTCCTGTTCACATGCATCGAATCATATCCGCTCCACGTCCGGGTATCAAGTGTCCAGTGGACCAGCACCGGAATTGCTCTTTACATGTCATCACCATCGTCAGTGAAGTCCACCCTCTCCTTTCCCCCCATCAAGTGATGAGGACATATGGCTGTTCGCCTCCAATAAGGGTCGCCTCTGCCGTGTCCTCCTCCGAGCACTCAGGATGTATATCCTCTATGTCCGTTCCAACGCTGTCTCTACGGGTTCTAAGAGGCCCCGGACGCAGTTGACCGTCATTATCAAACCATTGCGCACCAAATGGGTTCTTCCGAGCTACATCAAACGCAGTGCTCCCTGCCCCGTCCTCCTCTTCACCATCAACATCGTCATCATCGTCAGACGTGGCACTGTCTGGGGTCTCAAGTGACACATCTGCCCCCGCTTCCAGAAGGATCCTGAATATTGTCTCGCGACCGCGTTCAGCTGCAAGATGAAGGGCTGCCTTGCCTTCTGAAGTCATGGCATTTATATCGGCACCCAAGTCCAGAAGAAGCTGGACCAAAGACGGTCTGGGAACAACCGCCATAACTGCAAGATGGAGTGGTGTCTCCGCGGCTCCCGATGTGGCGCGAGCATTAATATCTGCTCCACACGAGAGAAGCATCTGGATGTATTCGGCTGTTTTGTCAAAAGACAAGTCAGGTACACCCGTGCCAACGAACACTGCCTGATGTAGAGGCGTCCAGCCCTGACTAGACACTGCATTGACGTTATGTCCAAAGTCCAGGGCAAGTTTGAGAATATCGAGACAATCATCGTTGATCGGTGGTGTGATGTGGAGGAGTGTTTCACCTTTCGGAGTTTCAACATCCATCTTTGCTCCCTTGTCAAGCAGAAACAGCCACATCGCTCTGTTTCCTGCTCTGGCAGCACACTGAAGGGGGGTATACCCCTGGTAATTACGAGCTTCTATATTGGCACCTTGCTCTAGGAGCTTAGCAGCGATTGCTGTATTGGAGGAGGTTTTCGCCTGCTCGTGGAGCAGAGAATCCCCCTGTTTGTTCCATGCGTTGACATCGGCACCGCCAATGACTAATAAATCAAAGGCAACCCAATGTCTAGCGTGAGCCGCGAGTTGCAGCGCTGTGAACCCGGACAGGGAGCGCGTCTCTACCTGGGCACATCGCTGAAGAAGAAGCGAGATTGCCTCACAATTATCAATTTTCGCTGCTAGCTGCAGCGGCGTGAACCCATTCTCGTTCATCATGTCAATGGCAGCGCCTTTGTCAAGAAGGAAGAGAATGATGCGTGGTCTTCTCCATTCAACAGCAAGGTGTAACGCGGTGTCTCCAGTGTGAATGTTACGGATGTTCACGCCTACTCGGTTTTTCACTAGCAACGGGATCGTGGATTCGTCGGATTCTGTGCCAACTGCCACCTGGAGGCCTGTAGCGCCTTTCTCGTTTGCGATTTGGGGATTGACCCGATGAGCAAAGAGCACCTTTAATACTTTGCGCTGCCCATATTGTGTGGCCAAATGCAGTGCGGTGCTTCCATCTCGTGCGACGGCGTTAACGTCGGCTCCATGTTCTAGCAGAAGACTGACCATTTCATCATTTCCACGATACGCGGCACAATGAAGTGGAGTAAACTTTAGGGTGTTGTCATGTGCATCGACATCGGCACCTTGGAGGATCAGACGGTTTGATCGAGGGATGATGCCGAAGAAAGCCAAAACATGCAGAGCGCTCCAGTCTGAAGGATAACACCCAAGGCCTAGCTCTTTAGGTATGACTCTTTCATCACTCAGATCCTTCAAAGGTGGCCGTCGCCACAGGAGCTTATTGAGAAATGTTTTTGTGAGGACCTGTATTGTTTGCTCGTCATCAGGGACTTGACGAGCATGGTCGCCCCAGTATCTCGCCGCGTAGCTGAGAAAGCCGCTACTGGCGCTGCGGGGAATCGGCCCGCAATTTCGGTAGCACTCATCGACCACTTCATCAGGTGAGATGGCTGTAATACACACTTCCGTAATATCCTTCTGGGCGGTGGGGAAGAACACCCTTGCAACTGTGCCAGTGAGGTATTCCTTCGCGGTTTTGTGGACAAATCGAACTGTTCCTGTTACTGCATCCACGGTCAAGAGCCCACCAGTCTGCACCTGCAGAGAGTGTTCGAAGGTGGAATTGTTGCTTCCGTCATCTATTGTTGAGGTTTTGGTGGCACACTTTAGCTCTGCGACCGTCAACGGCCGAAAAGCATATAATGTCCAGTATACGTAGCGAGCGGCACTCGGGTTGATGCTCACTACCTGCTTCATCGCTTCACTGTAGGCCTCAATGAGACTCTCTGGTAAGTGGACCAAAGCTCGTTCTAGAAGGCTTCTGTCCGTGTAGCGCGACAGAAGATCTAGATGTATATGCGCCAAAAGGAAACTTCAAAGCAGCGACAATCAGCCTCCCATGTACTATGACGTGGTAACTTTGGGGGAAATCTTGATACTTACACTCCATGGCACTTTTCCACAACAGTGTATACGGCCTCTTCGTACAACCGAGTGTCCGGTTCCTTTTCGAACAACCCCCTCAATCCAGCATCATTCTCGATCCGAGAGATAGCATATCTTTGAAGATCCTCTGATGATCCCAGGATGCTCACATAAGACGCGTCTCCCACTTGGGTAACTTCACGAAGGGTGACTAATAGCTGTGCGTGCTCTGGGAGTTTCTGCAGTCGGCTCAAAATGCGCTCTTTATCAGAAAGTAGTTCCAGTCCATCCATGACGAACATGACTTTCGAGAAACGATTGACTTCCGCACGTATTGCGTTATGGTATTCCTTGGGCGAGGCCCTCCCTTTTGTTAAGGATTCAGAGTGATAAAGAGACGATGTCGCATAAGAAAGACTGCGCTTGCGATATACGAGCTGAGCCAGTATGCTGCGTAAAATATCGGTGGAATTATGGTCCTTTGCATGCTCCTGCTGGATAATAACGAATACCGTGGCTACATCGGGCCCCGTGAAAGTTCTTTGCAGAGAATCGATGATAGCAGAACTGCATGTTTCTCATCAGTGTTCAGTCTATCTAATTGTATGTAGCACGACTTACGAAAGAAATGTTTTTCCCGCACCAGCTATCGACATGGAAGACAGCAAGTTAGCTTACCAGTGTTTCACTGAAGGGTGTATGGAGTACTCACGCGGACCGACACAGTAAAGTGTCTTGAAAGTTCCAAGCAGCCAGCGTCTGTACTCTGTGTGATCGAAGAACCAGTTGCATGACCCTTTGAGACGTCGGTTACACAAGTCGGCGAGGCCAATAAATTGTTCAGAGCAAAGTCGACTTGTTATGCCCAGTGCATCTTCCTCGAATTGTAAATCAACCGTTGGGCCTGAGTACATTGATCAACTGCCAGCACTTAAGTCAAATTTAGATGAGTACATACCACAATCTACACCTCGAGCCAGCCGGAGTGTATATCGTATTTCTTCTTCCAAACAAGACCGTTCCCTGTGGACAGAAGTTAGCTCGAGTTTCCTTAGTGACATATACTAACGGCTAGCATCAAATATCCGGGGTCATACTCTGAATCAGGCTGCATTGCTAGCAACAGGAGAATCTTATACTGCTCCAGACGCGGTAGGAATGTTCTCTCCAACAGGTGTTTCCGGAAGTAAGCAACGCTCACTCCCCCCGGCTGAAAGTAGAGCTCGATTGATTTCATGGAGGAATTCAGCCAGGAGAGCATTTCGGCCAAAGCCACCAGACGCGATGGGTCCACGTGCCATTTCTCCTCCCCCCAACTGATCTGCTCCTTGATGCGATATAGCAAGTCCAAGATATCCGCCAGCAGGGTAAGAGCCTTTTGTGATGTTTCCTGAGAATCCCGCCCAGTGCTGAGACAGCGCATCACAATGCGAGTAGACTGAGTGACCTGAACGAGGTCCCCCCGGAGTTCTGAGACCTCGACCATATTTCTGCACCGGTACCAATTCGCTGAATGACCCCTCCTTGGCCGTAATGTAAATGTACGGGAAGCAGGGGTTGGTAGCCGCAATCAACGGAGAGTATATGAGCAAGCACAAGCGAGAGGGTGACAACAATTAAGCAAAATGCTGTGGATATATGGAAGTGGTAAACAAAAGAGGTTAAAAGAGGAAGTGTGAGTGAGAAATCAGCGAGACAAAGTAGGACTAAGCGGTTGACCCAAGCGTGCCGGGTGGGTTTCCATGCGGAAAACAGGACGGATGCGCAGCGAATAACAATAGTGGCGTCTAGCAGAAAAAGAGAAACATGCGGGTACAAACCCTTTGCGATGATATTTAGTGGAAATAGCGATCAATTACTGGAGAAAGGAAGAAGCAAATGCCCACTGGTGCCCCTCGCAAGGCAGCCCACCGACAACCGCCGAAAGCTTAGGTACAGCGACAATCCGCTGCTGGTCACACGCCCAGTGGAAGCCGTCCAAGTGGGCGCTTCTACCTATGAGAGAAGCTGGATGCTCTGTAGTAGTAGTACTACTACTCTGTCACTGCTATTCCTACAATTATTACTAATAGTAGCTAGCCACTGTCTATTTACCAGTGTCGAAGCTAAGAGAGAGAGATATAAGCCAGACAGTCAATATGCTTTTTAAGCAGCATCAACACAAGTTATACTGGGCTGAATATTCTCCCAGACATGTCTGGTCCACACTAGGGTCATGGAAGATATTACCTATCCATGTTACATGGTACCTTGCTGCCCCGTGGCCACCGAAGTGATCATCAGCCAGGACAGAACAAAGAGAAACGAGGTGAGTAGTAGTAGTAACGACTAAACGGTACGGAGTTGGGAGACATGAGTCTACTACTACTGCAGGTCGCGACGAAGACAGGAATGGGCCCATGGGATCCCCCACTCCAGCCCCGTCCCCATCGCAACATTCATTCGATCAACGATGATAAGAAGCGGGGGAACTGCAGGTGGAGCAGATGTGATTGCCGTGCGTGTGCTCGCATCCATCCACTCCCCGCCGAGCGTTAGCCGCCCGGCGGATCCATCCATAGTATACTTCCGTGCTCCCGCGGCCAATAATGGGCTCCACCCATCCCTGACATTGTGATAACATCGAGGATTGGCACACCACCCCCCGTATGAGTGACTTTGCTGGCAAGTAATATGCAACCCCCCGCCTCATGCACTTTCACCGTGTGCTCAGACCAAAAGTTGCGACTTGCGATCCTTGGTGTGTACCTCCAGCGCGACATTGTATGGCAGAAGGAGAGCACCAGGAGAACTTGGACACGAAGAAGGGACAAAGATTACTTCGAAGAGATCTGATGGCCCAAATATGAACAACTAAGTGGATACAACTCATACCGGTTTGCTCTTACATGTGACATAATAAGGGATAAGGTTTTCATATTGTTAGGCGTAAAGCTGTTGGGTTTGTTGAGAAGTTGATAGGTAGACTTGGTTAAGCGCCGACCTTGCTGGGTGGCGTCCAGCACGAAGGTGTCACCCGAGGAAAGGCGGGTCGGCTCCATCCACTTCCGGTCGCTCAGTTCCAGTCTCAGCTGGTTTGTCTCGAGACTAACTCATAGAGGCTTTGGGAGAAAGGCTACATTGAAGGTAAAGATGTGTTTCACAGTTTAGAATCATATGTTTCTTGTTAGCTCTATTGAGCCTTGGTTGCAGTTTAAATACATAATCTGAAGGGCCAGCCTCCACAATAAGTTGAGTAATGTATAATCAGTATGGCAAGCCAGACGTGAGTCGACATCGGGGGCCATACACCCAATCTACCCGTGTTTTTTGTGCCACTGACAAATGAAATAGGGATTATTAGGTATTGGGAAGGGAGAGGCAGAGAGACAGAAGATTGGACACAGTCATGGATATAGTCGTAAAGTCGTTAAGAGTGATGAAAATGAGAACTTGAGAATGAAACCGGTAAATGCAAAACATGAAGCAAGTAAAAGGGTATCAAAGGATGCACTGTAGCAAATACAGTAACACCACAAGAATCTGCAGCTTGTTCGAATACATCGTTTAGATGAAATTTCCATTGTGGTTGATAGATGAACCGCTTTCGCGGCTTTTCCGCAGCGCTTTGGCAAGCATCAACTCTCTCATCCAGTCAATGCGCTCGTCCCGTGTCTTGACTGCAAAGTGATGAGCCTTGGGGCCGTTGGTAAACAAAAGCTTCTTGTCAAACGTGCTGTTTGTCGGTGATGGGATTAGAGAGAATGCGAAGGCGGCTCCTCCCTGAGTGGTGTCTTTGCGCTTCAGAACGGTTTTCTTGAAAGCCGCTGTCAGCTTTGAGTTGGATGGAAAGGACGAGCAAGCCACAGCATAATCATCCACATCGATATACTCAAGAGCCTTGGAGTCTCGGTGTGAGGTCTCTTCGTCGGGAAACATGGCTAATTGCGTGCCCCGCAAGGTGAAGTGGTGATCTTCCCAATCGTGGCGGAGAAACCGTGTCGTCTTCCGCTTTTTCATCCACCCACTGTGGGTGACGCTATTGTCACCGTTGGGAGCCTTGCAGTGTGCAGCCCGAGGGGTCCTTGCCATATCCTCGGGAGTCTCAATTGGTGGCAATGGCAACCGTTTCCCTAGGTAGGGCAGATCCTGACCATTTGAGACAAAGGCGTGTCTCCGCGAATTCTCGGGCCTAGTAGAGGCTGGTCGGAGAATTACATCCGGTACATGGTGCATGTCTCCCCCAAATCTCATATCCGGTGGAACGGATTGAGAAAAGTTCCGCGCAACAGGTCCAATGGGGATGGCAGTAATTGGGGCATCCATCTCAGACAAAGGCGTGCTTTGAGCATAGTGGGGGTCAATTCTGTAGAAGTCTGAAGGTGACACCCCCCTTTGCAAGGGCTCAAGAGATTTCTTTGAGTTTTGTCTACCAAACGGTTGCCTTCGTTGTAGGATCGAAGGGGTGATTGTGCGTTGAGCAGAGTAGTTGGGCGACAACATGGAACTAGTATCGGTGTTGAGGCTTGGGATGCGGAGCTTGGGGAGATGACGAAGATTCTCGGACAGGGTAGCATTCGCTCTTGCGGCTCCAGGCGAGCCAGCTCCAGGAGAGAGGTGATCTCCGGGGGGAGTGGCAGGATCGCAGGCTGGTTCCAGCTTACTGAGGCGCTGAAAGCTTAGAAATTGCCGTACGTTTTCCTGAGGATCACGGGGCTTCACGCCTTCGAGCTTGTCCTGGGATAGCTGCAATGCGGCAGCATGGTTATTACCCAGGGCATCTGAGGATGCAATAACAGATGGCGTTACTTCTGACTTGGGTGTCTTGACAAGATTCTGCGCGGTCGCAGGATTTCCCGGGTCACCAGTGATAAGAACCGAGCCGCCTAAGCCCTCAACCGGGAGGCCTTTGGCTAGACGTGCGAGCTTGGCCTGTTGCTTTTGCCATTTGCGGCAATTCTCGCCCTTAGAGCAAGTGTGAAGTCTTGGCAACAGCTGCTCTATGGCGACAATGGAGACCGAGTCTTCAGGAACAATATCTGTGCCCTTCTGCTGTTTTTGACGTCTGCGACGCCGATGTTGTGAAGACTTGGATCGGGACTTATCATCGTCCGTACTTGGGCTTGTGCAATCAACACCAACCTCAGCGGCAGTGGTCTGTGGGGTTGATGTGTCTTCCCTTGATGTGGGATCCAAAGTACACTGGGACTCGCACGCAACTGACGCCACCGAGGCCGCTCTGCCCCGGAGCTCCCGAATACAACCCAACAATCGGTGTCGCTTTCCAAATGACTTGATCTCCAGTTCTTTCAGATCTTCCGCTTGAAGTTCAAGAAGAATCGAGCCAGTGATGTCATTGACAAAGAGCTTTTCAACGACAGAGTCGTCAAAGTTTTGCTTTCGCAGCCATGTAACGACATCCTGGGGCGTCCAATTGGCGACCTCACTCTCCTTAGGCACAGGACGGGATGTTGTCTTCTCAGGCCGCTTCTGTTCCGTTGCGACGGCAGTGACCGGTACCGGGGTGTCTTTTCTCTCGGGCTCAAGCTTGGAGGCGGCTTGATAGAGCGGAGTTGTAGCAGTGGTAGAAATATCCTCCATGGTCAAATCGAAGCCAAAGGACGCCTCCGAATATTCAGAGGAAACACGGAAGAGGTGTGGTCCTACAGGACCCTTGACAGGATATTCATCGAGCTGGAAATGGAATGCCGTGAGGCCGGTTGTATCGGGGGTTTTCACATCATCTGGCGTCGAAGCAGTCGTCACACTCTCCGTTCCGAGCTTACATCTATTGTTAGCCATTGGGATAATATTCTCCGGACAGCGTACTCACAGACTGGCCGCTGAGATAACGGGAAACATCTGAATAATTCTCATAAGAGTCAGACTCAAAGTCTGTGTCGAGAATTTCGGTCGTGTCGGTATCAGATACCGTAGGATCGGATAGGATGGGGAAGTAGTTCATTGTGGCACAGGGCCCAGGCGGGGAAATAGACCGTCGAAAAACGAAGAAGTTGTTGTGCTTTGGACCAGCCAAACTAATAATCAATGGAAGTTCTTCGCTATGGCAAAATGGCCCTCGGAGTCTTCTGGTCAAGTGACTCGTCCCCTTAGGAGTGAGGCTGTTCGTTCCACTGTGGGCGGTGTGGGGACGACTGCGTGGAGGGAGATTAGATCGTTTAGAGGGTTTAGTAAAGGAGGTTGAGATAGAATATAGAATTGGCAGGGTTATCACCAGCCCTCACCAAAAACGGAAGGTTAGTTCAATGGGGTAAACTTGGAGATAGGGAAGCGCGGTCAGAGGAACAGGGTGGGCGAGGGCGTATAAGTATAAGCGAGTAACTTGAAATCCCTCGTCTGGCGGTATAAAAAAAGAACATGACACGGTCGAAGAGAAGGGAGGGAGGCATGCCGTGATTGCTGGAACGAGCGATGTGACGGGTTGAGCCTGCAGGTGCATTAGGCGGAGATGACTGAAAAACCGTCGAATAGATCCCAACCATCCCGTGGTGGCATCAAGTTTCAGGCCTCTGATTTGTCGCTGTCCTGCAAGCCGGGAATATGGCGGCGCTTGGAGAGAGTCTGTCCGACGCGGTCCCGAGCTCTGATTGGCCGACATTCTGATACTGATGATCCAGAGTTTATAACGAGCATCGCTCGAGAGGACATGGCGCCCAAGGAAAGATGGGCTTGCTGTTTGACTGGCTCGAAGGATGCCCACTACTGCTGTGACGACGGTGCAGTGGGGGTGATTGTAAATGGCTTTGGTCTATCTGTCACGCAGCACACTTAGTCGGTCTCCGTTCAGCTTGACTGCTACCGGCTTCACTTGACCCTAGGAAATTAAATTTAGCTACTCCGTACCCACTGAGCGACTGATAATTCTGCGAAAATAGTATAGGCGGTTGATGGTAGTTCCAAGAATAGCCACCCTAATGTCGCAGAAAGTCGGTGACATTGCCTTGGAAGCAGAGACGGGGTACTCGGTACTTGTCAGGAATAGAGCGTAGCCCACAGTTACCCCTCACCTGAAGATGTACTGTGACAGCCACGGTGACACCCGCCGAGGAAGCTGGGGTCCCCTTCATTCTAGTCCTCATCTCAATCCGTCCGGTGGTTGCTTGCTTACTTTGCCAATTTCGACGGCAGCTTCACTGTTTGACGGATTCCACCCGCGATCACAAAATGGAGAGCCCTTTGGCTATGTCGCTTGAACTATTTGTTAAGTTATTCTCTCCCGACACTTTATCGCAGTGGACTTGTAATCTTTCACCCCTAAAAGTCCCGATGATTTAATCAACATATGGTCTCAGTAGGCCCTAGCACTGGGCTAAGTGACAGAGTCCTCTTCATGGACCTTTCTTGCGTGTATACTTTACATTTCAAAGTGAGGCATGTCAAGCGATGAAGTTATGCTTGGGCCCTCGGTCGATGTGATAGTGTGCCTGCACCAGTGTGATCACTGCCTTGCAGCTCCAAGGAGATGGATGGGTCGCATGTAACAACCTCAGTTATGTCAGCAAGCTCAACCTCCTGCCTCTTCTTTACCTTCTTCACCCACATCTCAACATCCCCATTATCTTTCTTCCTCTTGCCATGCTTATCCCTCCATCTTTCATTGCCGTAAGTGCATGTGAGTCTTAAAATCATATCTCGTGTTCTGGTCAACAACTAATGGCAATCGGTTTTCACCATCAACTGACTTATCTAGTCAAGAAGAACACCATCGCGGATAGTATGTTAGAACTGAGGACGGAGAACACGGACAGTAGGAACTTACTCCTCAATACGATGTTTGCAACAGGAACAGGTCTGCTCTTCAAATTTGCTGCTAACATACCCTGTAGCAGCCATGCGAAGCGACTTGAGTGATGATGTTTAGAGGGATGTAGAAGAAAAGGTGTCTTACTGGGAGAATATACTCGATGAGTGTGGTAGAACCTTACAAGCTAGGAAGGTACAAAGCTGTCTACAAAGTTATTTTATCAGGTGACTGCGATGTCACAATTATGATGTGTAGCGATTGTTGCAGACACCTATCATCTCACCCCTATTAATGTACAACGGTGGTCCATTTCGTGGGGGAATCTCACGATAATCCCAACTGTGGCAGAGAGATAGGATCCTTGTCACCAAACAAGTAATAGAAATAATCGAATTTCGAGCAAACAGAAGCACTTCGAAATTTCTGTTGGTTGGTGAAGTCAACAGGCTTGACGTCAATGTAACTAGCTATATACACAACCTGTTTGATAATATACATTCTACTGGTCGTTCGTATACATGACCCTGGTCCTTTTTTCAGACCAGTTGTTACTCAACAGGTTCATAAACTACTAAGTTGTGCCATCTCGCACGTGTAGATCACCACATATGACATATAGTTGCACTACTATTAGCCTATCAATAAATACTCTTCAATATAAGGCGGCGAAACTACTAGTGGTGACGGTTGATATGTGGGGTCAAAGGTGTAAGGCTAGCCCGAGAGCCGCTGGCCGATCCGCTGCACGCTACACATGGCTTTGATGCTCACAGCGAATATATTTTCCGCAGATGAACCGATAGTTGTGCCTACTATACTTCTCCACTAGCACATACTGGTAGATAATCGGTATGTATCGATGGCCAATGCATTTTCCAGAGATGTACGGTACCATAGCCTTGGGACCAACAGCATCGCTGGAATCTGGCATCTACCGGACACCATGTTGAAATCCAACAACTACCCCTCTCATAATTACCATCTAACCCATGTCTCTAGGAACACAAAGTGGACTAAAACATATTTCCCATCACATGTGAGTTCTGATATGGCGCATCAGCGAGTATGCATGCGTTGAAAGTTGCGAGCGACAAGCAATTGGCGTGTTCATGATGTGTGTACATTGGATAGTGAACTAGATCCTCACCACTCACTGTATAGTAGATGTCTGCAAATAGAGCCAAGTCGGCGGTTACTGTTGTTAATTTTGGTTACCTTGCGCTTAATTTTGCGGGTCAGGGACCTGATGTTCCCGATATAGATCGGTGACAGATAGTGGGTAGTGTCTGCTTCATATCTGGTTCCTAGTCTCCCATGTGCAGACAATCAATCAGCAAGCTAGCAGAGAACTATTATTAGCAAAGCGCCGCACCTAGAGGCTAAAAACAGTTACGCTTCAGAAGTCAAAACCATGGACTGGGCGGCTATCTCTGTTTCAGCTGCTTCGATATGGCATCTATGATCTATTATCAGCGACACAGAGCGTTTAAGCATTATTCTAGGTGCGGATGGCGGCGGTTAAGGGTAACTAATCAAGGATACAGGCAAAAATAGTTAGCGCTGGAGGACAACAAATGAGAAATGAAGGAAAGCGTCTCGACTACCTTCAAAGTTGCACGGGCCACAGTGGTCGTCGGCACCTGGTTGGCAGAGAATACTCGAATTGTCCCCAGCGGGCCGCTTTAGCGCCCACCAACCAACCCACCGAAGCGCCGACTTGTGATGAAGTCCTCCAATGGCAGAGGAAGAGAAGAAGCTTGGCATGCACCTTCCACTGTTCATTCACATCCTAAGCTCCCTTAACGCCGTTTCATCAGTCGCCCACTGGCATACCAAACAGGAAAAATTCCAGTCTCAGACGAATCAGGGCCAATGATTGTCGACATTTTTGAAGCGCCGAGCAGGGATTACTGGTCAGAGTGTGGGCGAAATTAGAAACATGCTGGTTTTCATGGGGGTTTCGAAAACTGCCCAGAGACGACCAACCATAATGGGAGAGTCAGGAAAAAAAGAGGGATACTGAATCCGAAGAGAGGCAGCGAAAGATGGGTATGGAAGACACTTCCATGGTTTCAAGGTACGAGGAGACGATGGTTGGCCGGGGTAGGGCCTATCAGGGCGAGGCTAGCGGGACTGCAGGCACTAAGGGTCGGCCCTAGCCAGGGACCCCGGCTCCCTAGTAAGCAATTCTCGCTGCCAACTCGACGTGATCTTCCCCAAAGCACCCCTCAGGTCGACTGTCCCAAATTTAGCTCTTAGACGCCGGCCATTCGTCGCCTGCATCAGATCTTCCCCGCCTGCAGTTCGCATGTTGGTTCGGTGCTCATGCATCCCCAGTTAGCTCTACCGCCCTCGTCGTCAAAAAATAGAAGCAACCATAGCATGACACTTTATCGCGGAACTAGACCTGGAGTCATCATCTCGAAAGATATTAAGGCATCATGTCCGGCACCAGTTCGTTCGATTTCAATCCATCCAAACAACAACAATTCTCTTCAATCATCATCACCATTGCTCTACAAGACAAGAAACTTCCACCTTGACCTTCGCGAACTTTGATCTTCTTGCCTTTCGCCTGCCGCATACTAAAAGATCTTCCTTCCTCCCCGCCCCCGCCAAGCATCATTGAAGTCTCCGACAGGCACCATGTCAAGCGCAGTCGCATCTAGCTCGGGTTCGGGAAGATCGTGTGGGGTTGCCATTCCGCAGGGGTCTAATGACAGGATAGTCCGGCAGTACAAGCGTTCGCGTGAGGGTCTGTTACAGATATCATGCCATGTCTTGGTCGCGTTCAAGTCAGTCAACTGACCTACCAAACTTCAAACAGGATGCTTCACTTGTAGACTACGAAGGAAGAAGTGTGATGAGAATCACCCACGATGTAACTCGTGCACCAGTCTCGATATCACCTGTGACTATGATGAACCGCCGTGGTGGAGGAGCCTAGCAGCGCGGGACATACACAAAGAGCGGATCAAGAGGCAGATAAGGCACTCAAAGGTCATTGCGAGACAGAAGAACCTTCAAGGTTGGTAATGGCTGCGGAAGATCTATTGAACAGTGTTCCTCATACCTTGACAATAGCCTTCGTCAACCGCAACTTCTCAGGCCCGAAGAGAAAGCGTGCACGCTCCCGCTCCCTGTCCGTCGACACAAGCTCATCTGGCGAATACACACCATACCTGAATGTTCCTGCGCAACCCCAATTCGAATCGGCTATTGACGAGGGGCAGAATCCCTGGCAGCACCCTATACCGTCCACTTCATACAGTACCCTCATGGGTGGCCAACGGCTACCTGGACAACTACCACTACCAGAGATGTCAAATCCTTTGACGCAGCAGTTCTCGCTTCCAGGATCCACCCAGCACGTCTACCAGCAACTGCCTCTAGAATCACCACAGCAATGGCTGGGACAGCCGTTGCAGACCCCGACCTTTCCTGTACTACAGCCGTTCCCGGAGCCAGTCACACAGCCGTTCCCTCCGCTTGAGCCGCAGCTATTCCAGGAGTCTTCAACGCAACAATACCTTCAGCAGATTCCACAGGAACTACCACAGCAGGTCTCGGAACAATATCCAGGGCAGCAGTACCGACCCCTACTACCTGCCGCAAGCTCTGCCCAGCCTGGTAACCTCACTGAGAGCTCTGGTTCCCAGAAGATTACCGGATTGGAGAATACCCTTACGTCTCAGAAACCGCTATCCGAATATCTAGAGACGATAACCGTGAAAGCCGCCGAAAAGCCACTACTCCATCACTTCGTTGACAATGTTCTGAAGCTCATTTTCCCCATTCTAGACCTCCACCCGCAGATGGCTCCCAGGTCGCAAGAGATTCTGCAATCGCTCGAGACCAACAAACCCTTTTTCCACTGCAGCCTCAGCGTTTCCGCCCTCCACATCAAGACAGTAAAGGCCAGCACGAGCTTCCGCACGGAAGCGAAAATCATCGACGATATCATGCGACATCGCTACGCCTCGGTTTCGGACCTCTGTGACGCATTGAATGCCGACGAACATCAGAAGGTTTTGGACGCAACGCTCGCGACGATACTCTTCCACTGCGCTGTGGGCGAGCCCGAGGATTACCTGCCTGATATCCCATGGTTTGAGCACTTCAGACCAGTCGCAGACCTTGTGCACCAACTCGGCTTAATCGAACCGGCGCCCTTTACGCCCCTCCCCTTCAGCATGTCGCTCACTACGTGGATCGATATCCTTGGAGCCACCATGCTCGGCAGATCACCCCAATTCTCTCATGTCTATCGCGCCAAGCACTCAGGTGGAATCTCCTCGGGTATGAGGGATCTAATGGGATGCGACGACAGTGTGATGTACCTCATTGCGGAGATTGGGTGCCTTGAATCTCTCAAGTTAAACGGCCTTGATGAAGACGCGCTACAATTCCACATCTCGGCACTTACATCACAGCTTGACAACACCGATACCGAAGCAACGGCAAACCCATGCTCCCGGTATGGCATCATCTGTCCGGAGAAGCTGACAGCAAACATAACCGCTGTATTCCGCGCCGCCGCCCGAGTCTACCTCAGCACTCTCGCCCCGGGCTTCGAACGCAGCAATCCCAGCGTATCCACCCTCGTCCAAGGAGTTGTGGAAGCCCTCTGTTCCGTGCCGATGGGGCCCCACGGATACGACCGCTCACTCGTTTGGCCTCTACTAATGGCAGGGGTCTGCTCCACTCCTGACAGCGAATTCCGCAAGATCCTCGCCCGCCGAGCAAGCGAGCTAGATGATGGAGGTGAATACGGCAGCTTCGGCCGAATGTACCGCGTGCTGAAGGAGACCTGGAAGCTTGCAGACGACCCCACCACTTCTGTTTACGATGAGGCCAACTACATGTTGCCCTCGATGAATACGATGCTGGAGAGACTAGATAACGTGCCACCGCCCACGATAGGGACTATCGGTCGGCCCATTAAGAAGCAGGCTGTCCACTGGCGTAGCGTTATGTTCCGCCACGGTTGGCACTGGCTTCTTCTGTAAGCGTGTTCAACACATGCATGCAATCGGGCACGAAGAGGAAGACTGTAACAAACAGGAAGTTGGGGAGGAAACAAAAGAATTGTGATTACCAAACATGTATGTTGCACATCTTTCAGCCTATGAATTCTTCAACGGGTCTCCCTCGAAACTGACGCATATGCAGAGATGCTGCGGCAAGGCTGAGGGTGTTTCTGCAACTGCATGGCGCGAATGTGATAGGAGTTCAGGCGCAAGTGGCTAACGTCCGACTGTTGGACTCGTGGGAGGTGTTCTGCCCCCCTCATGTGATGCTCAATTTTTTTGAACATATCATTTGTTTACTGTGATTGTTATTTGGCGTGTTGGTTGGCTTTCTGCTTTTTTCACCTCCGTGGTTTTTGGACTTTTCGAATCTCTTCTTGCCCACGTCCCGCCGGCGCTGGTTATTTCCCCGCTTTGCCTGTTGGTGAGTGCTGCCCCTCACTAGCTGGCGCACGCTGCAGACAGCGCAACTTTCCATTTACCAACCCAACACTACTGACTGGATGGGTTTTGACTTTTCTTCTTTCCTTTTCTTTCAGTTCTTTTTTTTTTCTTTTCTTTTCTTTTTCTTTTGGTCAATTGAGCTTTTCCCGGTGTTTTCCTTTCCCTGGTACAATTCTTCTTTTCCTTATTGATTTTTCGCACATACGCTCTTCCTTCACTTCTTCTCGTCTGCGTATTCGGTCTTTTGTTCTGTGGCTTTTCATTCTCTCGTAACGTTATGCTTGACTTGCTCTCCTGCTGTGTGTAGTCTGTTTTAGGCCTCCTTGATGTTCATGGTTTCACGTCCTCACCTTACGTTGCTGTCGTCTTCCGTTCCGGTGGTTCAGTCTAGTTTAGTTCGAGCAATGCGAGTTCAGTTCTGTTTAATATCTTAGTGTCGCTTTCCAAATATTTAGAGGTGACTGTCATATAGGCAGAGTGCATTTCAGAATAAAAAGTTTAGTACATACCTCTCACCCGATTTAACAGTAGACTCACCTTAGCATGTTAGCACATTCATCCAGTGAATCTTTGTGTTGCCGGTGGTTCCATATGCCTATTACGACCTTGTCAGTTCGACCAACAAGCAATAACTCCGGTTTGAATTCGGGGTCCCCTTGACAAGGCCTCGCATGGCTATCTGAGCATAGTAACAAGGCCTTTTGGTGGCTCCCAAGCGCACATTTGGGATTAGTCATAAAGGACAGCATTCTAGATCGACAAGTGACGAAACCCGATGTCGCTGACGTCCACTGGCCGTTGTGGTTTGCGGAGTTCAACGTCCGGGACGTACTTTGCCAGAGCCAGGCTGATTAATGTGGATGGATTGCGATATCGAAACAAATGATTTTCAGTCCGTTGGTCGTATCGAAGTAAGACCGAAGATTGCCGTTGCGCAAGCCGATTTACGAAGGAGCTTTGACTGGATGTAATCGTCTTTGTAGGACTCGTTGTAAGGTGTCCAGGTGATCAAGTCCGTGGTGACTTGATGGGCTTGGACTTCATTATCCCCCTCATTTTGGCAAGCGTGCACGCCATCCCCGTAGATCCCAGTATTCCGTAGGCCCAGTTTTGACTCACAAAACGACTGTCGATAAATGGAAAGATCAGGAAGGTCGGTCCTGAAAAAGGGGGTCTGTTATGATGTACCACAGTGGGCGAGCATCGTTGCGCTTCATGATGCGACCATAGCATGTGCGTGGTTGAGTGTTATGGTGTGATCGAGACATTCGTGCGAACGATTATACTTAGTAAGGAAATAGGAAGTGCGGGTTAATGCATAGGATGAACGATACCCGAGGCATCTGTATTCCTTCCAAGAAAGTTGAAAGCAGAACCCAGTTATGACACCTTTTTTCCACCGAAACCCTGTATGGAGCTGACGCAGGCATGGATGTAGAGACGAACCGTATCTTCGAGCGGTGGCTCTATTCCCAGGAGACATGCCCAGAATTGGGCACACTGCGAGCTTTCGTGTACTTTGAAACATAGGCCAGCGATAGCAGTACGGGTTGACAAGAGGATAAGTGCTGTTAATGTCTCCAAGGTTTCACTGCCATCGCATGCCAACTTTGATCATCACGGAGCCTAGAGTGCAGAGTGTATACGGTCATGTTCGAACACGAGGGCGCCTTATGTGCCCACGTAGAAGACTGGCATAGCCATAGCCATGTGATATGCCCCACATTTCCTTACCATGTTCTTCCATGGCTCTATCTCCCATCATGGTAGAGTACTTTGGCTTCCTATAGACATCGATCCGGGGTGAGAGCCTAATAATGCAGAGGCAGTTCGGAGGGCCCGCACCAACTTCATTTCGGCTTTTCGCTCCAGTGTTATGGAGTGAGAGGCTTGGCCTCAGCTTGTTGGTAAACCTATAGTTAGACGAAGATGTGCAATAGCGCAGGGAAGCTCTTATATATCCATACTCTGACCGCGTACCGGACCGCGTTTGAGCTATCCAAACAGCTTCATTATAAAACAGCTGGGACCCGCGACGTTATTTGGCCATGATGAGACCATTTCATGTTGTTGAGACTGGAGATGAACTTGGAGTCTTTGGTTTCGCATTGAACAACATCTCTCACGCACAATCAACATAATGAGCGACGAATGGTACCCTCGCGTGGTTTGAATAGGAACGATAATGTTCGTCTGTGTTAACCAAAAAAGCACAAACGCAGCATACAACACATCCATATTTGTCCACGTTCCATCCAGATTGATATTTCCGAGGCCTTGTAAGAGGTCCGAGCTGGGGAAGTCGAATATCGGGGATGTAGACGTGAGCCGCCGCTCCGAGAGCGAGAGCGCGAGAGCGCGAGGATCCGTGATATGTCCGACGAAATTATCCTCATCTCCGAGGCCATCAACTTTCGACAACTGGATGCTAAACAAGCCGTCGAGCTGACGGAAACGAGACAATGTCTAAGGATCGAAGCCCAAAAGACATAGCCAGATACGCCAGGCAATAAACGCAATGCTTTGTCGTAAACCTGACGTTCTGCGGTGAGCATCTGGGCCAGGCTAGAACCGGCTAGGCAAGAAGGGGACGACGAGAATCGGAAAAGATACACAGGTGTCACCGTGAAACTATCCCAATTTCTCCCATCCATGCATCTCAGCTTCCTGAATACCCAAGGATGTTCGAAGCAGAACACCGATGTCCCATGAAGCTCCTCATGTCTCTGACAGCCTTTCATGCGGGATAAGAACTAGACATAAGAATGGGGTTTGATATGCTTCCTAATTGAAGGGCTGATTTGTAATTTTATCAATTGTAGTTCTGCCGTTCGCGAATGGATTTGGCTGCTGTTATGACTCCTTCGAGGTAGCGCAGGACCATGAATGGATATAGACTGTCTCCGCGGAGATGGCCTCAATAGGAGAAAGCGAGTGGATTGAAAGCTTTTGTTCCCAGTATGTTCCTTCCATGTAACTCTGGCCAGCAGTCCGTTGAGCAGGTAACGTTTAGCAGGACATGCTTAGAAAGGTTTGTCCACATTCCCCAAGCCCAGGTGTTGAATGACGGGTCTCGTATCAATGTCGCGGGTTCACATTTGCTCCATAACTCGAGGCATCAATGAGTGAAACCTGACAGTGTCAGGCAATATGTTGCAAACATATCATGATACTCATAGCGGTGTTCCCATGCGTGAATATTCAGTAAGATACCAACGGCATTCGGGTCCAGCAAAGACCATGAGAGAAGATGAATGTGTCCGGCGAATTCTCCACGCAGCCTAAGGCCTGCAGCACAATTTATTAACAGGCCAAGCTTCTGGAGCTGTCAATGTGTCACAAAATGGCTCCTCTCTTTGCATGTGGCCAACATGAAGCTAAGCCTGGGGGGTAGCAGCGGTTAGTAAGGGAGCCGTATCCTGTGTGGAATATTGCTTGCACGTCTCCAAGCGTAAAACTCGAGCCCGAGGACACCGTTGGAGTAGACCTGAAGCTTAAGGTGGCTTAGCTGGCTGTTGAACAGGACGCTCATGACCGTAGCTGAGAAGTCGGACGACCAACACCTGGAGTTCTCAACATCGGAGGCAGCTATAGCACAGATGAAAAGGGACATACCAAACGCAGTATCCGCATTATGTGTAATCTTCGTTGGTCCCACTCCCGCGCGAATCTTTCATGTCGGCTTTGTTCTGCTCCAACACGGCATGTCATCCTTTTATGTACAGCACTTCAGTCGGCCTCTGAGCTGCATACATTGTCATTTATACTCGCTGTCACCAATGACCCTAGATGAACCAGACACTGCACACCATACCCTGCCAGCTTCATATAATCAGGACCGACCGATAAAACGGCAACGCCAACGTAGATAGGTCTGGGTCCGGGGTTCCAGTAGCGGTTGCAGATTCGAAAGAAAGTGATGATCAAGTCACCGGTGGTTGCTGATTGCCAAATGATGTCCCGAAAATCCTTGAAAATATTTCGTTGCAAGGGCGACATACGGTCTCTGATATATGGCACAGTTTTATCAGCGAGACGTTGAAGGATTATGGCAAGCTAACCAGGTAAACACAAAATGAAAGATAAACTCAAAACTTACCATGTAAAATTGCATTTCTCTGATGAAGCTTAGTGAACTAATCAGCTATTGAAGCAATGATGGTCCGTGTTGGCGAGTAAAAGGCGAAGCAAATGAGGAACTGATGAGGTAGGTCAAGCTGCAGTGGCTTGTAACATAATGAAGACTCCCTACCGAGTGTTCTCCAGGTAATAGAAGGCTCCGCTCTTCGCAGAATAGCCGAAAAAACATGTACCCAGGCAAACAGTATGGAGCGTTCAACTGTTCGAGTCTCTGTGTCGAGCCAAATAGTCCAGTGCAAATCTAATGGAATGTATCTCACTAGTAACAACCAAGTCGCTGTCGTGTGCGCATTGATAGCTTACAACCAGTGTCGCCTGTCATGGCTACCCATACCCGCTGATATGTATGAAGCGAGGAACTGAGACAGGAGCCTCCCAAAGAAGCGGCGATCTTGAAGCACCAGGGTCTCTCGCGCTGGATTCGGGCTCCACGGTGTAGCAGGAAGCGTGTCGCCGACGCCTTGGACTAGACACTCGGTATCGCGCGCCTAGTGTTGACAAACCCAACGGCCAGAGAAGCCAAGGCTAAGGTATCTGGCCAGGATAGTGACTCACTCGAATGGGACATGTCAGGTTTGAGACAGGCTGGGCGAATACAGTTCAACGAGATAGTGAGCGATAACACTACCAAGCGAAATGACTGCGATGAGCTTTTGCTTGCACTCCAGAGAAGTCACCGACGATGGGATGTAGGGGGAATCAGGCGGCTTCCTGGTAGTTGCGAAGGAAATTTTCCTGTCTAGCCGGTCAGTCTATTTCTGGACTGATCTCATGGTGTCTCTTCCGCCGCATGTTGTCTCCCGCATCAGTTGTCTTCCGCAGCCGTCAATCGAAGTTAAGCGCCAGCACCAAGTTTAGAAACAGGAGTGGACAGCATCTGCACAGACGGACGAGGATCAAGCAAGTGATCCAGTTGTTCTTTTTTTACACCTTGCGTAGCAGGATCTAAACCGGTGGTCAATCTGCGCCGATTCCGTTGTTGCTGCTGCTGTTGCTATTTTGGAACCGGAGCTTGTCCCACTAACCCTTCAGAGACTAGTGCCGATGTCGCCTCCACTCGAAACCAAAAACGTATTGTAACGGTGAAATACAATGCGTTACGTATCGTACCAGTGTCATACGAAACCAACTATACCCGATACCCCGGTGGCTATACTTCTCGTCCAACACACTTGATCGTTCACTTTATTAACGATCCTGAAAATATCCACATTGTGGACCGAGAAAGATATAATCATCTATCTTTCCCTGCATCTAACCTCACTTTCCTCGCCCCCTATCCACAACCATCCAAACCTTCTCCATCTTTCCTCATTCTCTCCCTCACCACCCTTGATCACTTCATCCTTGCTGCAATTCAAACAGTCTTTGGGGTCTACTCTTTGAACTCACTCAAAGACATCTGATATTCTCAATACTTTGCCTTCCCTATTCACTTCGTCTAATACCGAACATAGAAACTGCTGGACAGTACCATGGCTCCTCGACCAATCCTCTACCCACTCAAGACCTCGAAGAGCGTGACCTTCCCATCACAACTTCAAGACAACGCCCCTCATCGATCTGATATGGATCAGCATGAGCCAGGAAGTGGGCCTTTAGTCCCCCCTCCACGCGCATATATGGAGTTTCTCAGGGCTCTACGCCCGGCTTACTCGGGCCCCGAAGGTATCAATGGAAGCTACACAAGATGGGTGAGGAGCAGGGCTCTACCATCACCTGTCTCGATGCCTCCCACTGCTAGAAGCGCAACCTTTCCTCCTGGAAGTGTACCCAAGTCTAGTCCTACTTCAATTCCCCCTACACCACGTGGGCCTCCGCGATCAGCAAGGGAGCCTATCTCTGCACGCCACCTCCGCGCTTCACCACAGTACCCGTACTCCCCAGCAACAACTGAATCCCCACAGAGTCCTTTCACTCTAAGAACACCCTTTTCACCAGCAGATTGGAGGGGAAGGTATATTGAGAGCTCAAGTGATTCGAATGGAAGAACCATTACCATACAACATATTGTTACACACACTGTCAATCTCAAGCGCGCGCCTTCACTTGAACCCCCACCAAGGGGCAAACGCAGAAGGACCAACGAATCCCAGGAGCGCTAAGAATACGCTACGACGACCATGACTTAGACGGATTTGATGTCTTTGCGCTTACGGAGTTTGGAGGATCGTATCCAATTTTGCTGGTGTATATTTCTCATTTATTGCACTGCTAAGTCTCTGTTATCCCAGCATATGGCTGTTCTTGCTACATCTTATTGTTACTCTGTTTATGTTTTGTTATTACTCGGTGGGAATCATCGCATATGGAGCTTGTTTTGGCATTGACATCTACTAGAGGGGTTAGCATCCACCTTACGGCGGTCTGGTACTGCCTGTGGCGGAAGGAATGGAGTTGGAGCATAGTGTGTAGTTCTGTTTGTGTTGGGAAAAAGAAAGGCCTCGTTTACAATTGAGTGGCTAGTACATGTTTAGGATATCCTTTGTCAATTATGTTTGGTTCAGCGGCATCTATTGTTCTCAGTTAGGCTTGCAATGTTACCCAATTAAACAGTTGAACACCTGAACTTTGTTATCACAATCATCCTAATCGCAATCCTTTTCAGAAATCTGGCCATGGCATAGCCTCAAAGGAATCGCAGGCAGTCTTAGCGAAATGCAGCTGATAGGACTTCATCCCGCTTTGACGCCAGGAAGGATTTTCACTAGATTCCTTTAACCCACGTGTCTCCCACATGGTCCCAGTAGATACTACTCGCGAGTAAATTTACCCACAAACATACCGTTGACTGGGTAAGCACCACACAGGTGGTGACGTCCTCGTTGGTCCCAAAGGATTCCCTAGCGCGGATGTGTTCTTGCTGAGCCTCACAGCCACCTTCATACCACCAGAGGATCCACCGGCAATGTCCAATCCAAGATCCAGAGGTATTCTCAGAGAAATTTCCATAGGTCAATGGCAGATAGGGCGATTTTCTTCTGATACACTACAGGATTCGACATGCCGGTTGGAATTCAGATCTAAACGGTAACCAGATAAGTGACGGTTGTTTTGGAACTGGTATTATACGGCATACTGATATACATGTATTACGGCGTATTACAAGCATCACCATCACCAATCCATCAACATCACCTGAAACTAGGTAAGGAAGACATCATAATTAAACCTTTCCATCTACTTTACCGGTGAAATAGAATCATGACTATATTAAATACTGCATTTAGGTTCTCATTGGCTCGTATATTTGGAAATTATCATGTCGCAGAGCCTAGAGATTTGGTGAAACAGACATCCCGCACCGATTTGTGATCTATGACAAACGACGACATTCTCATCCAAAGAGAACTCGCATGCGAATGTTGAACAAAACCCTGTGGAGATGATTTATGAATTTGATTCTAAAATAAGATACTCCTATGCTCTGGTGACTATGGACCTCAAACCTAGCTACTAGTTTGGTGGACAACATGTGCCTTCATAGGCTCTCTAAATCAACCGTTCGCATAGAGCTGCATGGAATTTAGTGCGATAACACTCTTCAACCTTGTTGCGTGGGTCTATGGAAGATCCATGGTTGCATTTTGATTTGCTTGATACTTTTCTTAATCCCTGCGTACGCCTTCGGCGCACTGGGTAGTAAGACCTACTTCATGCATGTCGGAACGGGATGATGTTGTTTTTTAGGACAGGCTTCGGAGATTGCGATGCACGGCAGTCACCATTTCACGCAATCAACATGCGTTTTCTCGAATGTGACTATAGGACCCGCTCAATGGGTGCTTAAAAAAGTAACAGTCTTTGAGAATGCATATCTCGTTAAAACACTCTCCGCCTATCAAGTTCCGTTAATTCGCTTTGGATCCATAGCCTTATTCAAAAGGGTGGTTAAGAGTCTGGGCAGTTCATGGTCTTCTGGGCTACCAAACCTCGAGCTCCTGCGCTACCGTGGTGGGCATCCAATGCCTAAATTCGTTAACCACCAATAAAGTGCCGCGATACGGGCTTCTCCCCCAGTTTGGGCTTAGCCTAAATCCCTGATCCCGTTCACATCCAGGGATCGGCTTGATTGGTGCACAGACACTGTCACTGCGGGGAAATCAGACTGGCGGGACATGGATCATGCATACAACATCCTGACATTAAGCGCTTGTTGGCTGCTGTCAACAGACTATTCACTCTTAGCTTGCAGCCACGATATCACCCGCGGCAAAAGGTGCTATTTTTGGCACCCATCTTGTGCTCCCATTCTGATGGCGGTCTTTCCGCATGTGCCAATCCCCTTTCTGAGGTTCTACCTGCGATATGCCTGCGCTTTCCCATGCGTGTTTCCATATCCTCACCTTAACGAATCATATCACTCAGCACGTGTGATATTCTATTTATGGCCTCTAAGCGCCCTCCTGACCCACATATGCAAGATTTCGCACCTTACCCCCTCCCCATTACCTGGAGAGGACCTTTCTTCGCCCCCGAAGCTCTTCTCTGCTACTAAGCCTTACTAGCCGCCGGATCACATCACAGGCCCTGAAGAATCCATTTTTAGAACACATTCAGAATGCTACCCCCGCCCATTTCGATGCAAGAGGGTTCATCTATCCCCATCCTGTCTAATTTTTCTATCTTTAGTCTCAGAGGCCAGGGCAAGCTCACCTAACCGCCCAGTAATCATACCTAATGGCTTCCATGCTCCACCTTCCTTCGTGGAGGGCAGGATCGGACCATATCCATGTTCAACAAATAGTTAGTACCTCTATCAGGCAAACTTCGAGCCAGTTGCCTCCGGCATAGAGCCGCTGCTCTATATTTGTCTACGTCCCAGGTTTTAGTCCCAAACACTAGCTTCTCTCTCTTGAGATCTTTCTGGCGCGATTCTCTGGCCCTATTAGATAGACATCTCCGTCCCCACATGGGAGGAGGTCCCCTGCAGCACATGGGTTTTTCTGGTTGGCGGGGAGTTATTTTTGGAATCATTCCAATCTCAACTTCACCTCTACTCGAGCTTTCCTGCAGTCGTTGGTTATGCCATATTTATGCCCGATGCTGTTAGATTTATAGATAGATGGGTTGAGATACTCTTCAACTACAAACATACCAAAGGAGAAACTGACAGAACATGAATTGGGTGACTGGGAGCAATGTGATAGAAGATAGCTATTTCGCATCTACTTTGACCAAATTCGGGCTGTAAATCCTTCCAAAATACTTAGCGTTCACGTCGTTAGGCTGCGGTGAAAATCAGACAAGGATCACAAAGTCTGCTGAGTGGGCGGGCGTTGCGCTCTAAACCTTCCCGCTTGTTTGAGGGGCAGCACTAACATTCCACAGCAACCCCCCATCAAATTTCCATTGACCAGTTAAACCACAGAAACCAGAAATGATTTACTATTCTTATCCTACTATTCTCTAGCTACTAGTCAGTCACATATAGAATCTTTAACCTCGAGCATTAGAGCCTATCTTCTCCCTTCCCTTATTGGACCATCCAAAGCACTAGCATGAAGCCAACATACTAACTTTTCTCATTCTACCACCATCATTCCCCTCTTCCCACCCAGCATCACAATTAATCTCATCCACTACCTTACTTCTCCCCCAATCATCAACAACTTTGTCCTATCCGAACCGCGCTTGCGTTCTACCCTAAGCCCCTACCTGCATTTCCCATTGATGCAAATCACCATCACCACCAACTGCACGCTACCCTCCTACCACCCCAAGTTTCTAATCTCGTTTCCCACTTCCCTTCCTGCGCCACGATAATAATAGAACTGGATGAAGCAATTCATACCTCCACTTTCTGCCTTCTATCCAGTCATACCTCTTGCGCTTGCGACATCACCCCTGCTTGCTATGTCTATTTCAGGATCTAGATATGATCTTCTACCCTGACGATCTGTATTTCTGTACCATACCGGTATGTTACTGACCGTACGGGTCTTACTTTACACTCATTACGCCTTTACATACAGCCGTTGCATGCTTTCCACTTACCTATCCTGGGGTCTTCGATCTCCATCTTGCATCTAGATAGTCCCTTGAGTTTCACATATTTCTAAATTAAGATCTTAGTTTGATAGACACTTTTAGTAAGTTCTTCTTTCTTTGATACTATTTCCGAGTAGGCGCGGTTGTGCTGCATGGAGTATGTGTTTCTATACTTGGTACTGTTCCTCTTCCTATTACTTATCGTTATACTAGTTGTTGTGGAGTTGTGAGGCGACTAGGACCTGGATAGTGATGACTCGATAGTGATGTGAGATGGTGGACACTTTCCGTCTACATCACTGATAATCTTCTCCCAGTAACGTGCCGGTTTAGCAATGGACGGAGTGGGCTCACTTCCACATGCTTACAGAGACACCTCACATGAAATACTAACACTATTCCTCTGTCAATTCTGATAAGTACTGTTAGAGTCATGACATTGCCTAGCGAGAATTTTATACCCACTTATCTATCATCAACAACCACTAACTTGTCATTCATTGCAGAAGATAAGACGATCGTGTACAAATGCCTTCTTGGTTAGTGTAATCATCGCAACTAAAATCTACCATTTACCTTGGGGTATAAGAAGGAGAAACATAAGGTACGATGCGCAATTATACTAATATAATAAAGGACTGGTAATATCAGATGATATCAACGCTATCTATTAACATCATGGCCAGGCCATTCATGCTGAATCACTCTTTGCCAATGAGATGATTATATATCACCCCATCATTCTGATCACGATGTAAAGCCACCCGTCGCCATACCCTGAGCACCTCACCACTTCGTCTAACGGGGCCCCCATTGGCACCGCGGCACCATGCAGTACTGGTTTTGCCAAGACAGGTGTCCTCCGACTTGGAAAAAGATGCGGTAGAAGCGAGTGCAGTGCTGACCCTATGGTCTGTGGCTGAGGCCCTCTGGATGTAGTTAGAATGGATTGGCTCGCCATGACACTGGCGCTGGATCCGGAGATTGGTTGGATTGTTGGTGGAATAGGTGACTGAACTACTTTGAGAGACGGCGAGTCAGAGTCTGGGGGGAGGGGGAGAAAGAACCGGACGGGAATGTTGCGGAACGGTTGTGATTGTGGTGGTAGGAGGATGTTAGATATACGCTGGAAGTTGGGCAGGTCCACTGGATGTATGTTTAGCACTTTGATCTCGCTGTCATGTTCATGTAAGCGACAACTGGATTAACGTACCATCTCTGACCGACTCCCAAAGCCCCGCCGAATCCTCCCTGGAAAGGGTCATGATTCCTTTAGCGGTACCATTCCTCAGGAAATCTGCTTCTTTGACACTATTAATGAAGGCATCATGCATGACTATCCCTTCCGCATCAAGTCGGACGAGTTCTTCATCTGGCCAGTCGCTAAAATGCACGACTAGACGCCATGGTAACGGGTCCTCATCCGATGTGGATGCCAAGTCAGCATCAGCACCTCCTTTAGAGGCAGGGTCTGCTCCCGCATAAAGGTCATAAAGGAGGCCAACTGGGTAGTGCCATTTCAACGGGACGCCCTCGAAGGAGAACCAGCCTTCGTGCGGGCGGGAGCCGGGATCAATGAGGGAGGGGGCGAAGAAAGCCCTTAGCCTTGGGAGAAGCGATGGTAGGTATGATATGCGGGGACAGGAGATCTGAGTGAGTTAGCTCTAGGTTCATCAGATACTAAAAGAGGACGGACTAGGTATGGATCTGTTTGGTCAAATGTACGGCTCTCTGATGGAGCCAAGGTGATTTGTAAGGGTAGCTTTCCGGCCCAGACGGCTTTCTGGATGCTGCCCAGAGTGGCTTTCGAATCCATTTTCAGGAAGATTGCGCTGCATTACAGGCTGAAATATCGCGTCAGCATAAGTTGTTAGACATAGCAGCGAGTTATGATACTCACAAGAAGGGATATGGCTCGATGGTTGCCGTAGAGCGATCGTCGCTACGGGTCGCCGGTTGATTGCCCCGCAGGCTTAAATCATGATTCACCCACGGCGAGTCATAAATACAGCCAATACTTTTGTATGATGTGACAATATATAGGCTGTCAAGATGGCGAGATGTGGACCCGATGAATAAGTAAAGGGAAAGATGATCATGGGGTCGTTCATTCATCCTCTGCGATGGGCCTCCCAATCGGTCCAATCCACACGTGACTTTATTCCTCAGGCAGAAAGGTATTGCAGCCTGATCACGCGTTGCGCTTCTTTCATCAACTTACACTCTTCAACTCCCCCAGACAGCCTCTAGGCTGGTTACATCTTCTTGTTCAACCACGCGGCTTTACCACGTATGGCCTTTGAAAACTCAGATATAACTACCAAGCTATTGCTTAATATCGTTAACGACCATTGACTGAACCCGGAGGAATGTGTCTCCGATCAGTTCCAAGTCGGACTGCTCCATAACGGAGCGATCGTCAAACTCAAATGTGATGGCGCCGTCAAACCATTGGGGTGACAGAGTGAGACACCGAGCTCTCATGCGCGTCCCACCATGGAGACTGCATCTGTGGTAAAACTCCAGAAATTACTATCAACAAGGTGAAGATCTAGTCCCGAAGAACTTTACGGAAGTGAAGCCAGGAAGGCCCTCAAGACTGCGGAATTGGCCAATACGACAGCTTGATGGCGATTGGTTGTACTTTAGATGTTCTTGTCGGTACACCAGTCATGTGTGGGCAGATCTTCGTGTAAGTGGTATCTGATGCCACGAACCGTCATAATCCGTACAGCTCAGGCATTTCGAAACAAGCCGTTGCTGCCAATGATGGGAGTATAAGCATCTGTGACATTAGCATGATCCTACCAGGAATGCCAGAACAGTTGGTACATGCTTAATCGAGGAGCTTCGAGCTGCTTGTAGTGAGACTGTCAACGACTCGATCTACGAAAAGAAGTAATCACCCAGATTAATCACAGAATACCTTTGCAGATTAGATCTCTATGCGCCGATGGCTTGATTCTTCGAGCAGGTATACCTCACTATGGATTGGGCCTCGTTTGGCGACCCTGAGACTGCCATCTCCATCAGGTCAAGGCCTTGACGGTGCCTGTGCCTGCAAGACAGTAGATCGATATCCCCTTCAGCAGTGTGCCCAATCTACCTGTGATTCTATATTGGAGATACCATGCTATTTTCAAGCACTTTCCTCATATTTATGTAAGCGGACTCAAGAATGCCGAACTAAATGGAGCCAATCACGCAAAGGGTCCACTTAGAAGGCATCAGAATAACCTCAGACACAGGTTACATGACTATCTAATCATAAGGGACTTAGCTAAATCCTGGTCAACACTATTGAGGTAAACCCCAAACAAATGATCTTGCCATTCATATGATCTATGCACGTTCAGGAGTAGAAGAAGATCTAGACTGCTAAGCCATTGCCCCTGAAGCCTGCAATTACTGATTGATCTGCCTGCTTGCGTGCAATCGGACCAACCACTCCAAATCCCATGAGTACTGATCATGGCCTGATGCAGAATAGATTATCCGCTATATAGGGCAGATGGAAGAATCTAAAGCCAAACTGTTACCCCTGATTCACAATTCACCCCTTCTGGTATCTACCCCGACGAGATGTCTCCACCGAATGGTGATTAAACAATAGCCAAGAACCCCTTGGAGCTTTAATCTGTTAAGCTATTGCCCTACAAAGCTAGCAGTGGCCCGTTCGCACATCACTGCCGAATGCGCTTGCAACCTCCACCCTGAAACACTGATGCTCATATATAACAAACGTCAATCTCCGCTGACTCCACCAGTCGCGGCACCATGTTTCAAGTTTGATCCACTAACAGCTATCGATGGCCCAACGGTACAGTCAACCATGATGCAGTTGACTATAAATCCTCAGCATCTCCCTACATCTCTTTCCGTCATATCAGCCCAGAGCCGGTATCTGTATAGCTAGTCTTACTATCACCCGAGCAGTGCTCAGTTCATTCTTTTACATACATTTCTTTTGTCTCACCACCATCAATATGAAGTTCACCTCTACTCTGGCTCTGACAGCCCTCCTGGCTGCTCCCGCCCTGGCCGGTCCCCACGGTCACGTCCGTCACCAATTTGAGTCCAACCAAAACTTCCCCGGCGCCGGGAACCAGGGCTTCAATGCCCCTGGACAAGGCCAAGGTCAAGGCCAGGCTGCCCCCCAGCCAAGCATCCAGCCCAGCAACAACGGCTACCAAACCCAAGCCGCTCCACAAGCGCAGTTCACCCCTCAACCCAGCGTCGCCAGCCAGGTCGCTCCCGCCGTGACCTCCGCCGTCAGCACCAACCACAAGAGCAGCTCCACCTCGTCGGACAACTACGAAGTCAACGAGAACTGGGCCGGTGCTGTCCAGGAAACTAGCGGCAGCGCTACCTTCTCCTACGTGGCCGCCACCTTCACCCTCCCCAGCGTGACCCCCACCGCGGCTTCTTCCTCCTCGGATGACCAGGCCGTGTCCTTCTGGGTCGGCATTGACGGTGCCACGGGCCAGAACCAGATCTGGCAGGCCGGTGTCGACATCTACGTCCAGAACGGCGAGACCACCTTCCTCGGCTGGTCGGAGTGGTACCCTGCTGACACTGTCGGTCTTGACATGGAGTTCAGCATCGGTGATGTGATTGTTGTCTCGGTCGAGTCGACCTCCAGCAGCGAGGGTACTGCCCTGATTGAGAACTTGACCACCGGCAAGAACGTTACTTCCACTGCTTCGGCCCCGGATAGCTCCTCGACTCTGGTCGGTCAGACTGCTGAGTGGATCGTCGAGGACTTGGCTATCGATGGTGATGGTCTGACCTTCATTAACTTCGGTGAGGCTACTTTCACTGGCTGTGTTGCTAAGGCTGGTGGAAAGACGATCGGTCTTGATGGCTCGTCTTTGATGGCTGTGGAGGATAGCACTAGTGATCATGTCCAGGCTGTGCCTAGTGTTGTTAGTGACTCTGAGTTGAAGGTCACTTACCAGAGCTCTTAAGGTGGAAGTGGTGAGACATTGTTCTTTCTTCTTCTTCTTCTTCTGATTTTGTGTATATACACGTTTTGTATTGGGGATGTTAAGTGTCAACCTGGGGTTGATAAGTGAGATAGTCAGATGGCAGGAAATTATACTTGACTATCGATACTAGCCTTTGGTATCGCATATACGTGTATATTAAATATCAATCACACCCATATTCATACCACATTAAGCCTCATAAGGCGTATATACATCCCAGAACTAACTCCAGCCCAAGCAAAAACCAAGTTAACCATTCCTCCAGATAAAACTCAATGAAGGAATTAGTATACCCTCTATACACCCCACGACCCCCTCCTCCCACCACCACCACCCCTCCCACTCCTACCACTCTCATAACTCACCCTCCCCAAATCCCCATCCCTAACGCCATACCCAACCCCATAATACTCCTCCCCAATACTCCCACTCCACGCATCCCCTCTACCACTCTGACCAGCTATATACACCCCCCTCGGCGCCACAATCCCCACCCTATCCCCATCCCCATCGCCAATACTACTCCCCCCCTCCCCCCAACTCCCACTACTCCTCCCGGACACCGACACCGACCTGGACCTCTCCCCATCACCCGAAAAACTCAACGACGGCACCGGAGAAATCACCCCCTCGACCTCCCCCTCCGCGTGACCCCTCCAGGTCGGCGAGTACGGCGGAGGCGGCGTCTCTCTCGTCGCGGTGGAGGTGTTTCCGTAGCTGTGGGTTGTGCTAGGGAAGGAGATTTGCGAGGAGGCGTCGTCTGCTGTTGCATTGTTTCCTGCAGAGTTCGTCTCTGATGTTTGTGGGGTGGTGGTGGATGTAGTAGTGTAGGGGTGTTTTTCGTCGAGGGGGAAGGAATTGTTGTTGTTGTTGTAGCTGGATGAGGAGATGGGCGGGTCGCGGAGGTGTAGGGCGAGGGTCTTTTCGTTTAGGGTTTCGGTGTTTGGGTGGGGGGTGTAGGCTGGGAGGGTGAGGGTGGGTTCTAAGGGGGGTTGGTACTGGATGCTGTTGGGGTGGTGGTGGTGATGGGTGGATGTGGTTGCGGTGTTTGGTGGTGGGGGAGATGTCGGGCTGGTGCACGAGCATGGACAGAGGGCTGCGAGGAGGGTTGATAGCATTGTTTCTGGTCCTGGTCTTTGTATAGGTTCGGAGGATGTGTTCGTGTTGTGGTTGTTGGAGTGAGGTGGTCAGTCTGCTGTAGATGTTCGCAGACTATCGTAGTCTCCGGTATTGACGGGTGTCTGATGGTTGGAGGGGCAAGGTGAATAAAGGCTGATTGAGACACCAGGCACGTCAATGCGATGCAGAGACTACGTGTCTCTGTCTTAATGAGCGAGAGGTGATGTCTACGAGAGTGAACGACTAGGAAAGAAAGTCAAAGTCACGACGAGGCTGCGCCTCAGCATCCAGGCATCTACGTTCCCCGCATCGCTGATTGGTGGAGTTCCCCGCTCCTGGTCTTCACTTTATCGATAAGCGGATAAGATAGCATCAATCAATTGTAGTTCAATCTCATCTCACGCTGGTATGCAAGCATTCTCGTAGTCTTCTATACATTCTGTTGGAAATTTCACAAACTCATCCCATCCCTCACCCAGGTACCATGTGATCGCTGTAATCTCTGACCTCGCTCGCGTCTCGACCCAATACATGTCCGTCCCATACATCAAACCCAACCACCAACTCAGCAACACTAGTGCCGGTGGATCTTTCTGCATCAATCTGGCAAAGAACTGCGGTAGCAGCCTCCCCATCCATCCCGTGTAGGATGCAAAACTCCGGACTCCTCGCTCCAGCGACAGCAGTCCTGTCAGTATCCGTGCTGGCGCATGATACGGGTTCGTCTCTGCGGTGGTCGTGTCATCAATCCCACACAGATCAGCTAGCCCCGGATGAATAGCCACCCGTCCAGGACGCTCATCCTCAAAGAGATCCATCGTCTCATTTTGAGACTTCATGAATACTTCCCACCACATGCTGCCAGCTTTCCACTGCGCCGTAGCCATGATCAGATGGCGTAACCCCCCTTGCAAGGTCAGCCAACTCAATGAGGCAATATCGTCTGAAAAGACAAACGAGCTGAGGGGGTCGTATTCGTCTAAAGAAAAGGAACGAATAGTCAACAGCAAACACGCAGAGATAAGACTATCCGTGTTCTTCGGGCCGATGGAGGTAACTTCCCGAGAGTACTGAGTAATGGCCTGCTGCCAGTGGTAAGTTTCCGTGAAGGTATAGACACGACCATCCGAAGCCAGATGACGGATGTGCGAAGTGGCTGCTGCAATGATAGTGTGCAGTAGAAAGGGTGACTATGCTGTCAGTAACAGTACACCTGAGTAAGATGAATTCCAGCATACATTAAACCCTAGCTGAATGATCTTCGCCTGCATAGCGGATTGAGCGCCTTTCGGCCCGAGCGCCGGGTTTGTTAGGCCATGGTGGAAGTGCTGCAATGCTTGCACGACGGACAATGGGCCGCTTTTTGAATCCAACTGCAGTATCTCGTTGATATTCTTGGTCACGGTATCCACCGACATGCAGTACGCTTTTGAATCGGGCGGACTCGCAAGGAAGACGCTGACGCTGTCTTTGTCTTTGGTCTCGGGCTCATAGCTGCAGTCGAACCCGAGTTTCTGGCATCGGTGGCAGGATGGTTTTCCCTCGTCACACTACAGTTAAGAATAGTACAATTAGAGAGGGCGATGACCAGAAGAGTAAGGGGAATACCTTGACCCGTCGCTGCTTGCAAACGAGGCAGCCAGCGCGGGATTTGCGATGCGGGCGTCGGGGATGATAAGTACGGGGAGAAGGACGAAGTTGGAGGACAGACTGCATGGCAGCCACCAAAGTTGCTAGACCTTGCTACGTTCCATGAAGGTGCATAGCTTGCATTCATACGATGAGGATATGTGAAGAGAACAAGATAGTAAGACAGATAGACTCATGACATATGACGATGAGAGCAGCCAGCCTCGCGGGAGTGCCTGACCAGACTAGTCCTAATACGGAAGCCAGCTATATTCCACCAGCATAGCATACCAGCATAACATACAATTCCAACAACATCATAATTCATATACCACTGACTATATACCTAACCAATCTGCGCATTCGAGAAATCCATCTCTGCAAACACACACACACACACCACATTAGCACAACCCACACCTAAGAAAAAAAGAAAAAGGGAGTAATACTAACCAGGATGTTCCTCCTGAAACTTCTTCAAAATATCCCTCTTCTTCTGCTCATCACTCGTCAACCCACCCATCTCCTTCTGCCTCTGATCATACATCATCTTCTCGACCATCGCCCTCGTCTCGCCATCCAACTCACTCAACGACGAATTCTCCGGCGTAATCTTCGTAACGTCGATCTTCGGCGCACTCGTCACAACATGCGCCCACCACTCCACCTTGTTCACCTTGTCCAGGTGGATCGAGATTTCTTTGCCAGGCGGCTGGGATGTCGATTCGAGGGTCCAGGAGCATTCGTCGGGGATGACGGGGTGGGGAAATTCGCCCTACGATATTCCAGTACCAGGTTAGTATTTATAGCGAGAGATGTAGAGTGATAAGTTGTGGAGTGGGATGTGTACGTCAATCAAAGCCTCCTGTCCCTTGATCGCAACGCGGATTTTCGTCTTCGTGAGAACAACATCCAAATCCCGACCGCGGAGGTTCGATGCTACGGGGATCGTCACCTCCACGTCGCGGATCGTTTGGGTCCATTTGTAAGGCAGCTGGGCTTGTTCGGCGGCTTCGCGGGCTTTGCGGGCGGATTCTTCCTCGTCGCGGCGGGCGAGCTCGGCGGGGGTGGGGGGTTGTTCGTCGGCCATTTTGCTGTTGTAGTTGTAGTTGTGTCAGTGGGTGAAGAAGCTGTATTAGGGGGAAGTTGGGGTCATACTTGGTTGTGGAAAGATTTGTAGAAGAAGGTTGTTTGGAGAATTGGAGGGAATTACAGATGGTGGGGACTGGCCGGATGGCTGGAAGCTTCCGCGTGCGGGGCAACTTTCTACTACGTTTATTGTGTAGACATCATAGCAACTACTAGTAGACTACAACAAACACTATGATCAATGCAGATAATGGTAGGGCATGGTGGGATATCGTATGTCATTATTTTATTACATACAGTTCCTCCAGCAATGACCCACAAATTCTCTCCTGTCCTCCTGGGACAACAGGACCCCTCAGCGCCCTGCGCATCAGGGCAACCCGCAACAGTATCATTTGCTATGCACGCTGCTATATCTGCAGGCCCAGATAAAGAGTAACTCCGAAAATAATCATCAGTCCGCCCATCCTCGACGCCCGTAGATCCCTGCCAGCCATATTTTATTTTCATCCCGTACTGTCCGTCAATATCTCCTCGCCTAGATCCTCAGCTACGGGTCCAGGATACGTCGAGGCTTCTTCAATATGCTGTACCTCGCCGTGTTCCTCCCGCTCGATAACGTCGAAGAATTCGCCGGCATACTCGGCCATCTTGTTTGCCATTTTATTCGCCAGCTTGTCCTGCACGATTCCCTCCAGCAGACGCATGTCCTCTTTCCATTTGCGCTCCCGACGAGCCTTTTCTTCTGCCGGCCGGCGGCAAGTCCCGTCTCGTTCCCGCACCTTCAGGCAGTTCGGGCACAGGTAGTTCGCTTCGCAATAGGAGCAGTTGCACGGCGGGAAGGCGATGGTGCAGTCCTCGCATACGTACACCGAGCAGCTGGTGCACTCGCGGAGAACGCTGGCGCACCGCTGTCGCTGGTCACCGACCGCTCGATACTGCGGACAGAAAAAGGACTGGCATCCTTGCCATCTGGGCTGGTCGGACGGCGAGTCGCAGTAGACCGAGGATGGCGAGGATGAGCGTGAACGGTTGGAATTGGAGATGGAGAGACTGCGCGAGCGGCGGTGAACCAAAGGCGTGGGTCGAGGATGGTCGAACGCGCTACTGCTCGCCTCGGGAAAGACCTCTTGGTTGTCCTCGGTAAAACTGCTCGTAGTCGAATCAAGGATCCGCTGCGTCCGATACGGCAGCTCGAACTCTGGCACGGAATTCGTGTAGGGCATCCGCGATGACACAAACCCGCGAGAGCCGTTCTCGGCGTGGTTCTGGATTGCCAGCTTCTCCAGCGTGAGATCACGGTACCCACAGATCCTCAAGCGGAGTCCCCGCAGATCATGCTCAATACACAGCGGCTTCGAGCAGCTCTTACAGTGGACCTTCCACTGAGGCGTGTCGTAGCAGTCCTGGCATAGGTTGCGCGGACAAGCTGCAGGCTGTCGGTCGGGCGGCCCAAGTAGCCATCGCATCATGGCGATGTGTCCGGTCTCCAGCGTATAGTCGGGCTTGCGAGGGTCTCCGTAGGCGTCCCGCGGGAACGTCTTGCTCCATTCCTGCGCCGAGTACTCCAGGTCCTCCCACCCCTGTCCTCGCGGCAGGGGCACGGCTCGTACTTGATCCACATCGCGGTTCGGTGTGCCGATACTGATGCCGCCGCCGCCAGAGAAGATAGGCTCAGTGCAGCACCAATGAAACGTAAGGGCGGGATAGGAGGGAGTCGCGTTGTTGGCTACAGTGGTGTTTTCGGAATCTTCGACAGGGTCTTGCATAGAACATGGCGACATCGTAGCTCCAGGGGCCCACCAGAATGGACTGTCCTTGGATGCCGATCGAGGCCGGCAGTGCAGATAAGGCCGTTCGTAAGCGCAGCTAGCACACAGAGTCTTTCGACATCCGACACAGTGCATCAATATACTGCATTGCTCGCATCGTTCAGGGATCAACTCGCAGCAGTTGTCGCAGCGGATATTCTCAACGAACTGTGTATGGCTCCGTCGCAAATGTGCCGGCAGCATCTTGCCCTCTCCATGGTCTCCACTCTCTCCGGTCCCCAAAGCCTCGCCGTAGTAGCCGGTCTCACTGTGTTCCCACAGCTTCGCATCCCGCTGAACTGGACGGTTCGCCTGGTCTACCGGACCGATCCAATTCTTCGACCTCCACAGCCGATCAAACACCACCCACACCTCCGCCGACCCCTGTGGAACACGCATAGACACGTAGCCCCGCCTCCGGAAACATCTCCCCGCAGGAGTCGAGCACCACGCGGTATCCGTCCAGATGCCCAGCTTGTGGCAGAGGTTGACCAGCTCATGTGTGGGTTCGGAGTCGGAGTCTTTTCGCGACAAGGAGGAAGTCAGATACGGCCGTCGTCGATGATGTCGACATCGATATGTGTAAAGACTTTTCAGTGCAAGATGCTTGGTATCCGGTGAACTCCCAATATTTTGCTCCATGTTGACATCATATTGGAGGCCAAACATCGTGAGGTACGGGATGATGTGGTATTTGAGCGACACGTTCTTGCAGCCTCGTACGGAGAGATGTTCCAAGGTCTCGCGCCGCGAATGTAGTACCGTCGACATCAGAATCTGCCCCGACACAGCTGTGTTATCCAACTCCAGACTGCGCAAGCACGGACTAAACGGAATCACCACGTTCATCAACAGCTGGTCAAGGGCATACGGACGCGACTGGCGCGGGATGACGGTCTCGGAGGAGCCGGTGAAGACAACCCGGAGGGGCGGCGGGGTGCCAGAGGGGTAGAGGAGCCGAAAAGAGAGGTATTTCCATGCTGTCGGGTAAGAGCGGAGGAATGAGCGGAGGTAGCGGGAGGTATGGTAGAGGGCTAGGATGGCCTCGGTGGGAGTCTGCAAAAGGAGAGATTCGAGGATGGGGGCATTGGTGGTGACGACGAGTTCAAAGGTGGATAGCGGATGTTGGGCCGGAAGGACGGAGTGTTCGAGCGCGGAATCCACCAGGTGTTGCTGCTGTTGGTCTCCGCTGGGCTTGCTGGCCATGGCTGTAGTGGTAGTAATAGTAGTAGTAGTCAACTCAGGGCCCGATCGATGATCGATAGCGGGCACTCCCGGAATATGAGATACGGATGGCATGACGATCCGAATCGGATGGCGGGACCCTTTGCTTCTTCAACAACCTTTTTTTTTCTTTTGATTTCACTCCCCTGAAAGGAAGCTGGAGGTTAGAGTGACGCGAAATCGCGAGCACAGCGGAGAATGCGGGAGAGGGCCGCACATCATAAGGGAAGCAGGAAGGAGAGCATGCGCAAGGAGGGCGGATTACACCCAAATGTTGGACATAAGCAGTGGCCATCCACGGGAAGGAGAGGAATAGGATGAAATGGAGGGAGAAAGAGGGTCAGAGAGGGAAGAGGAGGGAGAACAAGTTACAGCAAACCGATTGGGGGTGGCTTGGACAACTCAGCTCAGAATTGGCGATGGGCAACAAAAATCCAACGGGCGGCCGGCAATCATGTGATAGGTCGCCTTGGCCCCGTTGGGATGCCACTCTTTTTGGTTATTGTTGCTTTGCCTTTGCTTGTTGATTGATGATGATGATGATAATATTGATGATGAGTTCAGACTTATTCCTATGACGATATATGTTGGGTCACCGGAGTCTGTGGCCTGACGGGTCTCAACTTCACTAGTGATTCGTCCCCAGTGTATTTTATTGAATATTGAATTCATCCCTCTGGATTTCTTTCCACTATCTGCTGCTAGCTGCGTGGTGTTGTTCTCTGCCCCCGACGATCCAATCCACCACTACAACCACAACCACTAACCTCGCCATCCGCTTTGGGCCGTGCCAGCAGCATCAGTAGGGCACAAAAAACAGATCCGTCAATCCATCAATACAAAGAAAATAGCAAACCACTAGTTCCACCTGACTATGCTTTGCCTTGCCCTTCCCCCTACTCGTTCCCATACTTTCTACCCTTTTTCAACGGTCGCGCCCAACAATCCGGTTCTCCGAACGCCAGGGGAGCGAGGGCGGCCTGAACTAGTGTCGCTCTATTGTTTCTCCTACTGTATATCCCCTTGCAATAC